GCTTTCCTAAAGCTATCACTAAGCTAATTGGTATATTGTTTTGTGTTAATAATCAAATTAATTAACGTGATTCTCTAATTGTGAAGGATTAACCGAAGATAAGTTCTTCCAATGTGTAAATCCCCCAAGTTTTCAATTCGAATGAGGGTTTGTTGCTTTGAATCTATAGTTTTTATGGATAAAGCTGTTTAAATGATCGAGAAAACATCATCATCCGACTACATAAAATATTCGACTGAGAAATGAAATTTGAAATATTCGACCAACCTGGTCCCAGATGTTCTTGTAGCCACAAATCGCTATTTATGCTTTGGGAGTTAACATGAGTCGCTAGTAATTATCGGCTGCAATTTATCCATTAATCTTGGCCCTCAGCCTCCGAATACTCACTTTCTAATCCTCCAAACATTCGACTAGCAACAATAAACCTAAACATAAATTCTCGTTTGATGCAGAACGACGTAAAAGAGTTTGGCATTTGATAATTATTGAATTTTGGAGAGAAAAGAAATCACAAGAAAGCACTGCCAATAAATCCTTTTTACCAGGAAGAATTTTGTTGTCATTAAAAGCAGTTTTTTTCGTAGGTAATTTGAAACTTGAGAATCTTGTGAGCAGGAAAACTTTACGGCTATATGGAGATTTTGCCCCATAGCAAGTTCGCCCCCCCTATGAGTTCCCCCAACCCCAACTCGACGAGTTCGCCTCATCCCATGGTAAAAATGGTGTAATTGTGGAATAATACAACAAGCTAAACCCCACCTTAAATACACACAATCTTTCATCCTTTTATTGCAGCATTATGTATTCCTTTTCTGGAAAAAAATTATAGCGTTTAAGTTAAACAAGAAATTTGCATCTTAAAATAACTTATCATTATTTCGTTGGAGAAGGAAAATGTTTTCCGAAAGGAAACGAGTCGAAAATTTCTGGTTGAACTAGTAATTGCACTGGGGTAAAACCTTCAAAAACCACACTATGCTACGTGTGGAGCAAGTTAAGCTCTATTGCCGGTGTTTACGAACGTACTTACAACTTCATGAAATTTTGTAGTGGTTCTTTACTTGACTGCGACAGTCAATAATCAAAAGAGCCCTCTAGGCAGGTTTTGCCAAGCGAGGTCATAGTGAGAGTCATAAAGATGAGTACATTCTTTTATCAAGGGTTAGTAAGTTCTAGTTGACCTGTGGTGTAGACTACTTTCAAACTACTTCAACCAAATAAAACAGGAACGACAAGAGAGCACCACTGGCAAACCGTGAGAAAGAAGAAAAGCCAACGTGTTCTCTAGCAGCCGTCATGGTTTGTTGGTAGACTAACGGGTTGACAACCGAAATAGGAGAGAGACTATTTCACAGGGGCGGATAAGGGAATTTTCAAAGGCGGAAGGGGGGGATTTTGATATAATAAACTGTTCACGTTTTAACGGTTATTATTGTCTCTCCTGCACACCTGCCCAACTCCATCAGCCACAGTGATCTCACTTCAGTCACCGCGCACATGTTTGTGACTTGCTGTCATTGCTTATGCGACAGTAATTCCATTCCAACAAAATCAAAAGACGAGTTACTTGGGCAAGTACGTCCTGTTGCTTCAATCGCAGTTTTCCGTTATGCACCGATCAATTCGGAGCTCCAACATCTTCCCCCTCCTAACAACACACAAGCATTTTGAAATCAAGAAAGCCATTTATAAATCAAAAGGCCCTCCAGTGGGTTAAGTGCTTGAACCTTACCTGGGTGGGGTGAGGAATTTGAACCGGAAGCGTCAAGTCTTTTCAGCGGAATACAAATGTTTTAATTTTTAACATGGCGAACTACAACACGGCCATAATCTCAATATTACAGCAGATGGTGACAAGGGAAATATACCAGCTTCTGTCTTTGAATCTTCGGTCAGTAAGTAATCTATTTGTAGAGTGGAAGGGTGGGTTTATGTTAGGTTCATTTTTTTCATACAAGGGTGCTCTTCGCTTACCATCTTGCAAGCCACTCTGACAATGTCTGCAAAGGATTCATTCCTTTAATATAGGGTCAGCAATCATACAATCATGAAAGAAACTGGGACGAAGCCTGGCTACAGCTAGTTTGAGTGTTTCTGAGCCAAGCGAGTACGAGTAAATATGGTCTCGGTTAAGCAGATCGCCATCAGCTCAATTGTGCTTGTTTTCTAAGTGAACAGACTGTCAGGCACCTTAAGACTTTCCCTTCCTCGAACAGACTGTCAGGCACCTTAAGACTTTCCCTTCCTCGATATGTCTTTTTCATTATTGTTATTGCCTTCTAACCGCATTATTCTTGTGATCCATCGCTAGCTCACTTGTTTGTTTTCTAGAAACGACTGGATACACTTTCATGACAATTACAGTTCGAAGTAGCTGTTACAGTAACTAAATTTGCAGGTGCATTAAATACTCTGGTGACAGTAAACGATTCATTACTCTCTGCATATTTGTTGTTCATCTAATGTATTTATATTTATGTGTATGCACAGCTTCGACAAGGCTACGATAATTCACAGCGTTGCACGCGAATATATTTCATGTAACTTTACGTGAGTAGACTGAATTTGATAAGCCTGAAATTTTCTTCTCGGGGTTCTTGGATAGGATATAAATTATAAAGATGGGCTAGAATTAGCTTTTATCTCCATAAATTAATTTAGCTCTGTGCTTGAACCAAAACTATAAGATTGTCAACCTTTGACTTGAAACCAGTTGTCAAAATTAAAAAAAAAAAAACTTTGGATAATGTAACCAAGAAAGGAATTATTGTTTATCTTAAGTCAATATTGTAGAGTTAAAGGATAACAAAATTAGTCTAAATAATGACACTTAACTATACAAAGATATTATGTACACTGCAAGATTGTCGAATAAAAACATACTATTTGAATGTATATGCTTCAATGCATTTCAACCACCTTCGAAATCTAAAGATAAAAAATGACAACATCCTTGAAAGGAGATAAGCATTGTAAAAGTTTTCATATATTAGGATCAGAGAGGTCATTCACTCTACAAATAGGCTAACACGGAAAATCAAATAACTCACAGGTACTGTTACTCTGCAAATTCAAGCACCCCCCTTATTAACCAGTCTCTTTCAAACCTGTTAAAGTTTTCAAACCTCCCTTGTTAGTCCTCTATGTAAATAGTGAGTCAGAGAGAAGAATGTTTGTAATAAGTATTGAACATGGGATACTATTCTATGCAAACATATGAAATTTCAGTATTAGAGCTGAGCTTAACTTAAGACATGTTCAGCCAACTAGATTATAGTAACCTTGTATGTAAATACTTGGGTCATGTTGCTGTTTGTGTGAAAATCTTAATGTTACAAACAATGGCTTTATATGAACTGAATTTGTGAAAATAATTAAGATTTGCAACTTGCGTAAGTCATGCTCTCGTTCTTATTATATATATAAAACTAGCACTTATCTAGCACTTGTACAGACTTAAGGTACTTGAGTGCATTAGGGTGGGATAATTTTCCTCTATCTTCATATCTGAATAGTTAGAATTCCGGATTTAATTGATTTTGCATAATACTGTCAGAACCCCGAAAGAATCTTTGAGTGACACGGGCAAAGTGCTTCTTTCAGATTTCACCAGCATTAAATTATATGGAGGTCATTGTTTGGATAGGCAAGAATTTCCTTCATGCCATATCCAGGCCTTATTGGCAGATCCTGTTGTTGGCAGTGTTTTGTTTTAACTCTTTTAAAGACTGTATGATGCTATCCATTAGGTACATGGCTACCCATACAGTGACATGAAAGTAAATAGTAAAACTAGAAAACAATGCAAGCTGTTTGTTGATGTTTTATCTTGTAGTTTAAGTGACCCACTATATAAATAAATAGGGCCAACTCAATTAGGCTTGAGATATGCTTGACCTATTGTTGATAAACTAACAAACGCTATAATCAAAATTATGGCGTTGAGATATGTCTCAAGTGCAAAGCTGGAGTACTTCTTAACCGTTCTCACCTAGACCTTTTGTTACATTTTAAATGGTGTTCAGAGAAAAAATTAATATTGGTGAGCTGGCCAAACAAAAACGGCCGTCATTTGGTGGCGTACGTACTCACGGTAAAAAAATGTAATGTTCATCAAAACAGGCCTCATTGAGAGGTTAAAATTAGAGATGGCTTTCATTGAGAAGTTTTCATTTCCTCTCCTGCTTTGTTTCTATTTTCATCACTCCTATTCTCCTATGTTTTTCGGAGAGTAGGATTTTCACTGAAGGCGAGCCAATATGATCAAGTAAATTGGTTTCATTTTACTGTTTTGCACATTTTCGCCCGCCTGGGTGTTTTCCTTTCTGAAATAAGGTTACTGAATTACGAAGATAGGAGTGGCAATAGATATAGCGTCGACTTATACCTGTTTGTTCCTTTGTTCACGTCCAGGATTGTTTTTCCCCAGTTGGGTGAATCACATCAGTAATCATCTGCCATATATATGTGAGGACTTATGTTTCAAAGTTTCGATGCCGTCTGGTTCTCAAATGAACCGCCATCATATGCCTCGATTCCATGATCATCTCCAGTCTCTATAATTCCATTATTGTCTGGCAATTAGCCAGTGAGGTTGGAACTGATAAGTAACACGAGGGATGGTTTCCTCCATTTTCCCTGTCTGCCACTCAGGTAGACAGGCTATCACGCACGTTCGAAGCTTATTTATCGAAATTTGGCTTTGGATGGTAACTGTCGCGAATTGAATGTAATCATATCCAACGGACGAGCGAAAAAGGTACGAGGTTACGGATTTTAGAGTGGCCAGTGTGGAATAAGTTTAAGTCTTCAGTTCAAATGAAGCTTTCCTTCCGTTGGTTTGATTTGGGATAACTTTGAGAAATAAAAAATAAAGATAAAAAATGACAGGAAAACTATCTCCGAAGTAAAAGCCAAATAACCCGAACAGTTCGAGATCGATCCCGGAGCTCCCAGTAACTTAACGGGTCAAGTTAGAACAAATAAACTTTGTTCCTTTATTAGAATAACAGTTTCATAGAAAATTAATAACACTCTTATGGTTAAAAAATGCATTTTCCTCGACATCTCCGATTGGAAAAAGAAGTTGACCCAAAAGTGAACAAGAGCCTCCGTTTTGGTGTGAAAATTGTTTGAATGGTTGTCTTCGGAGTATGGATCTGTCCTGCAAAACGAGAAGTTTCCCGAGAGCGAGGTTCAAGGAAGCTGTCCACTTTGAGTAACATATAATTATCCGAGACAAAGTTAAGAGCATTATTTCCCGCCAAATTAAGCCATAGCTAGAACTATTTTTATTTAACGAGCAATCAGTGAAAGCGTGTTTTTGGACCTGAATATATTCCTTACAAAATAACTTTAATGCAGTAAATTTCATTTTGACCTACGGATGAAATCTAAGTGCACGAATGGTCCTCGCAAGTGAACAAAACATCAACAATGCAAAAAAGAAGCCTGAAAAAATTCATATTTTAACGGCTTTTTTCAGGCTTTTTATTGGGATTGCCTGATGTAGCTCATATGAGGAGGATCATGCCTGTACGTATGTTTATATTCTATAAATTTATAAAAATACCTACTCCGAAAATATTTTCATTTGGTTTATCAATAGCCTGTTTGTGATTAGTATTTAAATTAATTTTAACATGATTATCCATATCTGGGATTTCGCTCAAAGAAAGTACCCTCGGATTTACTCATGACACCGAAAGTTCACTAGGCAACAACGCAAATGATAACAAAAATCTAAATAAGTATCGAAAATGTTCCTTGAAGAACTAAAACAGCGCTACTGAGAGTTTGCATCCGATTATCTCCGGCTTCAATTTAACATTAGCCTAAATAATTCGGAAACATTTGTCAGCTTAATCCTTGAGGCGCGCGTTAGTTATAAAATAAAATTCCTCTACCGACGTGTAAAGCAAAGGACTTTCCAATGAACCTGAGATACAAATGTACCAACGTCGAACCTTGAGAAACCACTGGATAGTAACAGTCTCCTATCGATCCAATCTCATACATAAAAAAAAGAGCAGAATCCAAACTACTTACACATCTTACGTTCACCTCTAACAGAAAAGACAAAGCCACACTGAAAAAGGTGATCTTTCCTAGTTAACCAACTATACTAAACAACAATGACACCTCTTCCCTTTCCCAATGTTATGGAAGTAGTGATTCAAATACCCCGTAATAATAGCAGAGCCCAGTTGTATAAAGGGCGAATAACGCTATCCAACGGTTAAATACTTATCTGGCGGATAAGTGATAGCAAATCGTATAGCGTTATCCACCGGATAGAGTTTTATTCAGTGGATAACGTTATCCAACCTTCGAACAACCAGGGCCTGATCCACTATGTTGTTGCGAAACGCTAGTCCCGTTTTCTTTTTCCACCCCTATTACAAGCGTAGCCCAAGGGTGGCACTATCAACATACTTCTCACTAAGCAAAACTTGCAGGCCTTCATAACGAAACTAAAAATGGCTTCTTGGTTTAGGTTTCTCCGTCTTTCTTCCCTCTTTTCTTTTCACTATCCATCGTCATCCTCGCTGTCAGGCGTTAAAATGGCGTCCTTTTGACCGTACATACTGTAAATATCAACCTCACTGAGATCAAGCTTCGTTAACAAGCTGTTGGGTTGCGTGCCAAGAAGTTCGGCTCCCTCAAGAACATCGTCTCCCTCGTCTACATCGTCAGAGGTTCCACTGGCACCCCTAACACTGATCCACCGCCAGCAGTCCTACAGCAAAAAATGCCGCTCTGAATTCTTGAAGTGTAGTTAAGGACAAGTAAATTTTCTCATTTGCATAAGGCTTACTTTGTTCTCCCAACCCCTCCAAGCTTTTCTTCTTTGGACAGTGAAGGATCACAAAGTGAACAAACGTAACCAGAATAACTTACTAGTACTTCTCCTGACCTGGCGACCCATAAATTAGTCGGAGTCTTTGAACGCAATTGGAAAGACTCATGCTTTAAAATTCAAAACCAGAATTTAAAGAAGAGAACAAGAGGACGCTTGACAATGAGATGAATCAGTTTCAAATGCATGAAACAAGGCGTGTTAGGAAACAACTCCAACCATCTCGAAAACACCTAACCTTTCATTCTGCATCAACAATAAACTTACTGATAAAACAACTTCCCATCCCTTCCCAAGAGGGTCAGTTGGTGTCACTCTAAAGCGATGCTCAATAGAGTTGCGGTTGATCATCCAGACCTTAAAAGAAATAATCACACCATCAAAATGATAAAATGAATGTAAATAGCTGATACACAATTATTCAGATATAGAGAGATCAGTAAATAAATACTCAGTGTTTATATTTAATTACTCTGGAAGTATTGGTGTGATTTATTGACTTTGCTATGTACCTGGTTGTCTGCTCCGACAGAAAGTGCTGTCACGCGAAACTTCTGTGACTTCCATGTAGTGCCTTCTGGGTAGGTGTCGGTGATATTCTGTCGATACCAACACGTACCTAAAGAGTGAAGTCAAACTGTGTATTGGCGTTGATACAGTTTTTAATTTATTCTAACGTAGAGGTTGATTCAATGGACAACGCGCTATGAGAAAGGTTACGATTAGTCAAGCCTTACTTAGAATTTCGACAGCAGCACTGTAGAAGATATCAAGAGCTAAATCAAGGCCACTACGTGCCAGCAGTCAATAAACAAGGGTTAGATTTGGCACTCTATGTACGTCGGAGGAAGGTTTCTATTAAAGTTGTTATATGGTTAAGAACCTTGTCATAAAAATTAATTAATGATAAGAACAACAGAAAATTGAAGCTATCTGATAACGAGAGTTGACACCTTGCAACTCCTAATGAGGGTTTTTAAAGCATTTTCACCGGCTAATCCTACGCTTTATAAAAGTGAGCTTATTACTAGGGGCCTATTACCATGGGCTCTTGCTATCATATAATTACGGTCGTAGAAAATTGGAACAACTCTCTCGGAAAGGTGTATCAAAATGGAATAAAAGTAAATTCATATAGGGTTAATCTCAAATGGATGGTTACAGTGTAGGTCAAATGCACTTCTTCAACTCATGTTGTTTCCACAGAGCTTATCTTCAATTAAACGAAACGTAAATTAAGACTGCTTCTTCGACCGAAAGTAAAGAAAATTCATAAAACTTTGGTTTCTTTTCTTCGGCTTTTTATCTTGTCCTCCCAGGATAGCTCAATATCGTGCTAGTCCCACTCTACTTGTAAAATAATTGACGTAGAGTAATACAACACAAGTAATAGTTTTGTAACGCTCGAGTCTATCAGAGTAGAAGGCTCTCACGCACTTAATTTAACGCACTAAGAAAGGACCCGCTGATAAAACGTGTCTAACCATCCTTCTCACGAGTCCATACTGATGTCTTTCCGGCGGATACTTGATACAAATGGGGAGGCCTTTCACTTATGTGGAACCATCTGCTACCTGAAGAAAGAACAACCAAATGCTATGATGAGTGCCATTGAACAAAGTCTTACAACGCAACCAACAGATTCTAACTAATAATACTAAATTTCAAACTTCATCTCGTTGAATAGCCGGGAAAGTGCTACAGCTACATGACCACAAACAGCTACTTATAATTCGGCTCACGCCAACTTGTCCCGTGAGACCAAAGAAAACCAATATTCTACTTGAAGTACTCGATCTAGACAATGTAAGTATAACAGCTGTTGGTGTGAATATTTGTTTACTATAAACATCTAATATAATTAAATGTTGAGAGTTACCTCAACACATTTAAAATAAATAGTAATCTTCTCGTTAGATATTACTGGATCAAATGTGGTTAATATTGAAAATATTTGAAAGCGGTTTTGCATAAGTAAAACAGAATTTCACGATATTATGGGAGAATTTTGATTTAACCAGCTGGTAAATGGCTTGATTTTTCCTTCATGTTGCAATCCATACCTATGATCTTATTTTCTCCAAAGCCTGCCCTGAAGTAAGCCGTACCATTCTCTGCTATAACCCACACGCGTCTCTTACTTCCCACGGAGATACTGACAATTGGCAGGTCCGTTAAAATGTGCTCCCAAGAAGAACCCTGTGGAAAAAAAAACTTTCATTCGAAGATAGTGGCCAATTGAAGTACTCACCATTGAGATGAGCATCCTTCTACTTCGATGCATTATGACTACCATGCATTTGGAAAGACGAAAGTAGGCCTCTGATTTTCGGGAAGGAAAAACTGCCGCAAAGCATCTTGACAATATAAATGTTGAGATAAACTGATCACTTCTATCTTACATCTGTTTTTGCAGGTGACAAAACATGGTGTCAGTTTTATTTAAACAAAAAAATACATTTTTTAAAATTCATATCCCGTTGGGTAGCTTTTTCATTCCAATAAATCAATTCACGACAGAGCCGCACGCTTGGAAGTCTTTTATTCCACGCAATGTCTTTAACTCACATAAGATTTATACAATTATTATGAGTTTTCCTCACTTACAACATGACATTTTCATATCGCCTTCATAACTAATGACAGGCAGTTATTACTGTTCGGCGTCTCACGGTATTGTACTCTTACCTCCGGTACACATAACATTTGCTCACAACTTTAATGGCAGAAAAAAATGTGACAAACAGAAGGCAGACACCTATAAAAGTCGATGTCAAAACTTAGCTTAATGGCCTTGATTTTAATTACGGATAACCGGATAAGGACATCTTTACAAGAAATGTTTCGTTTAATTATCTGAAAAAAAAATACAAAAAAACTGCCGCTTTCCTACGGCGTGATGTACTATACAATCCATTGATAATGGCTTTTTCTAATACAAACTGAAGATAAACTACTTCCTTGCCTCAGGGAATAATCTTTCCTGGTCCTTTCGAGAAGAATTCACCTTTTTGGATTTTTAATAATATATATATTCCATTACTTTGGTCATTTACAAGTCTTGGGTTGAAATAGGTAATACAACACAACTGTAGGGCCAGAATGTCTCTAAAACTCATTTTCTCTCTTTCTACCAGATATTGATAAAAATTAGCGAGATTTCTGTATGAAACTTTTCATTACATATCAACTCAATTGTGAAAAGAAAATAAATATATTTGCGAATGCAAGACAAGATCTGTCGCCTATGAAAACTTAAAGATATTTTTTTAAAGAAATGTTGGCATTCATAATCGTAAAAAGGACTGAAACATGTCAAATAACAGAAAATAGACATTAAAAAAAACTTCACGATGTTAAAACAAATTTACCTTAAAATTTATCATTCGGGTTTCAGTTCAAGACGAAGCTCTTGAAAATTGTAATAGGAAACTTAGCTGTTAGAAAGTCAGTATCTTGAGCTCGATTTTTCCCGAAGTTTCGTGTAATGTTGAAGCACGCAAACAACGGAGTTTTATACAAACGACAGAATTTGAATTCATTTAGCTATTACAATTATTGAAGGAAAAAAAACCTAATTGGTTCTGTCAGAGAAAAAAATACATGCAGAAAATTTACCTGCAGTTGATATAAATTGTATATTACTTGCAGCTAAGACTGCATAGAGTTTCTCTAACAGCTTGTTTAACGTCCTTGATTTTCCAACAGTACAAGACCGGATTCAGCGCTGAGTTAAAATAAAGCAGTGTTATCATGTAAGAATGAGCGATTATTATGGCTTCATTGCCACCGAAAACCGCCCAAAGAGCTGCAACAATCATATAAGGAAAGGAGCAGATCAATAGAGCACAGTAAACCCACAAAGCAGTGCTGACAGTTTTCCTGTATCGCCTTATACTCAACGCCGAGCCACTTACAGTGCTAACTGTACTTGTGCTCGCTTGATCCCAGGCAATCGTCCTTTCTTGCCGTCGATTGCTTACCTGGCGAAGAATTCTGTGAATGGAGGTGTAGCTGTACGACGAAACCATGATACTGACAAACACACCAACTATTTGCATGATCATAAATGTCTTTCGGCTCCACACACTTGATGTCCCAGCTATGCAACATGTAAGCCACGTTACTGCAACAACAACGCGAGCACGGTAAAGAGAAACGACCTCTCGGTACCTAATCCTCAATCGAAGCGCCAACAACCGATCAACGCTGATCTCTGCGGTCGTCAAAAGAGATATACCGCTCAATGTGAACCCAATTACATCCAAGTAAGGTAACACGCTGGAGCAGAGTACTGCGTTACCCGTTGCAGAGGTAATCATGTACATCAAGTTGAAGGGTTCTACCAGTAGGCCGACACAAAGATCGCTGGCTGCTAATGAACAGAACATAGTTCGCGATGGTGGATGAATCGAGGAAACTCCGCGAATAACCCACAAGATCAGCAAGTTACCAAACAACGCACCAAAAAGCAAAATGAGATTCGCAACAGAATTCAAGATCAGAGATGGAACAAAGATGGTGCTGCGAGAAATATCATCTAAATCAGGGCATTGTTTCATGTTCAAAGATGGTTTGATGTGTTCAGAAGTCGATGAGTTCATGTCCGTCTCTTGACGTTATCAAGTAAAATAAAGTAGTGTCGTGTCACTTAACTTCTAGATCCAGTTTTAAACCAAATTTATGGCTGATGATTCGCTCGTTTTCGTTTGAATTACACAAGTGCTGAGAAAATCATAAATTTCTGAGTACTTTTGAATCTATCTTAAACACCACCTCATCAAAACTGTCGTGTAAATTTTGTTGCATTTGGTGATGTGTACTGTTTGAAGTGTCGTTTACAATACAATGCTAAGCAGCCCTACGGCAGTATGTAAATTTGCTCCTTAATATCATAAACCAAACACACCTAAATAATCTGGCACAAAACTACGTTTATTTTAATCATACCGCAGGGATCATCAGAAACAACAGAAGTCGCGAAGGAAAGAATTTCCGACGTCTTAACTAACACAACCTTGTTAGATTTGTCCTATTTGTTTTGCGCGAGAAAAGCGCCAACTTCATCTTTACAGCTTTTAATTTAAAACAGAAAAACTTCGAGAATGTAAATTACTTTGGCAGCGAAGTTTGACTCACTCCTTTCATCCACCGAAGATAAAGCAAAAATGGTAGAATGGTAGAATGGTTGAAGTTACTTCAAGATAACTGTTCAGCTTTTTACAAGTTTGTTAACAACGTTATAACGGCGGCGATATCACAGCTGTAGGTGACATTACGACTGGTCTTATTCATCATTACGAACAATTTTACGCAGTCCACGTTTACGATTCCTAGTAACTGAACCGTTTACATATTTATTGAAAACATTGGTGGAAGCTTTACATATTGATTATACGCTCAACAGAAGAAATGAGTTCTTTTCTCAAAACACACCGAGAGAGATAATAAACGAAACATCTTGCCCTTTGGAACTATTGTTTTTGGTTTCCTCAAAGCATGATCCAAAGAAAATAAACGAGATAACAAATCAATACAGTATTCAGAACATTTTAAAGAAAATAGCTCATACCAGATATCTACTGATACCACCACCTGCCAAAAACTCGTTTTATCCCCGTTAAAACCAATTATCGTAAATGACACTACCCCAGCTTGGCTTTTCAGCAATTATCTCAGTTAAAGTTGCTATTATTTCTAACTTAACCTATGTAGTACTTTCGATCAGTGGAGCATGACTGAACCAAATGACTACATGAAAACGTTGTTTTAATGCTATCACCTTGCACACGAGCCTATAATTGAGTGCTGACCAAAATCAACTTCAATTTTTACCATTCCTTGGAGGGTGCATGAATAAAATAACGAGATAAAAACAATCTTGAGAAATACCTAAAAAACATAAAGTAAAGATAACCTCGTAAGAATTATCTGCTGCAATAAACCAAACAGCTAACTCGACTGTGAAACTTTGCGTAAGAAAGTATTACGTTCAATTCGTTTTACTATTTGAAAAATTTGAAGTTACTACTGAATTTCCATTTCTCTTTAAGCAGACTGCTGAGTCTGATAATTAACAACGAAGACAAGGCTTATAAACAACGGGACCACATTTCATACAAAAAAATTATTTCTTCAGGTGGAAAATAATAATCAGGCATGTACTTGAAAGCCCTCAATTCCCTGAGTGTACCTTCTCCCTTTAGCTATCGGCTCACAGCGTAAGTTGCCTTGAGTAATATAATCTACGAAGATTTGTTTTTAAAATGATGATTTTTTTTGGCGTTCAAAGAGCACGGAATGCTTAGCTGGGGTCATATTTCACTATTTTGGTACAAAACCAAATTAAACAGAAGTACACTTCCCATCTACAACATGCTGTGAATTCCATCTCGACTATCTTGGGCACAACATCTTACTGTCGAACTAAACAGATAATTAACGCTCACAAATGAGCTGGCTCTCGATGTGTGGCTTCATTGTGGCTCAGTTGGCAGAGAATTGTACCGGTATCACGGGACTAATTGGTTCAAATCCCATGGATCTGTAATTTTGCATTAAACGAATTCAGAATTTAAATTTTTAATATTGTCACTTATTGGCCAGACGCCTGCAGGCCAAATTATGCTTTCAAATAGCGATTTCTTTCGCGAACGTTCTCCCTGGTTGTCGTCTTGACTTCAATTTAGAAATCAGAAAGTATATTAGACGATTTCCGCATTGACCAACAAATCATCTCATTCTGATAAGATACCGTAACGACAGATGTAAGAATCCGCGTTCGAACTAAAAAGAGACAGAAGAATGCAAAAGATGAATTCCAAGACACCTTAAATATATCAATGCAAAAAATATCATTGCTTTTACTAATCATTGTTGACCGTTTCTTTGATCATAGAGATGATCTGATCGTTAGAAAAGCGTTTCCCGCTATTTCCATCGCTTTCTCGAATCGGAGAGACGCGTACGCTTATTTCTCGAACAGCGGCGGGTTATTAATAATCATACGAGTGACTGACAAAATCGGACGAACGCGAAGCGGGAGTCCGATTTGTTAATCACGAGAATGATTACGAACAGAATTTGACGACACGAAGTCCTGTTACCAATTAATCAAAACTATGACAAAATTTGAGAAAGAAACTAGACTTCGCTTCTACGTTTTCCTAAAAAAAGCAACAATTACCTAGGCGTATTGCGCGACAACAGCGCGCGCACATGACGCGTACTGTCCTCGTACACAAGCATGCTGTGTTAACTGTCCTATTACACTGGCCAATTACAAGCATGACGCCTACACTGTCCGATTGGTGCTCAAATCGGGCTGGTGATAACCAATCGCTTTCGAGAATTTTGTTAAAGTTTCGATTAAGCCTATAGTTTGATTTATGTGCAGGATAGTGGTTTATCCTGCAAATGGACTTGTCCACAATATCGACATCCTGGACGTGATAAGAATCGAAAATATGCTCAATTACCTACTATGGCCAAATGGACCAAACCAAAGAAACTTTGACTTTTACCAGTCACCACTGCAGAAGCAATGCCGTTGGCAAAATTCATCTTGTTACATATACTTGGTAAATCCTATGATATGAGCCACGTTTATAAATTGTAATCTAATTTACCTGCGGACAATCCTCGGCTACCCCATGTCGATACAAAACATCACCTTTTGTCCCAACCGTCCATAATGCTATGGAGCCATCCAGTAAATCAGATTGAATTGATACGTCACGTAGTCTGACTTGAGGCGTCACTTGAATCCATGGCCCAGTAGTAGTCAGTTTACATCGTCTTCGGTTAAAAGAAAGATAACTATCTGATGTTGATTCAACGAGACACAGTAGAAAGCCTTTTCCTTACTAGTACAGTAACGAATACCCCGCCTCACCCAAAACCTGCAGCAACGACAAATTAAAAGTTATAATAATAACATGTACAGAGATAATGCCAATAATATGATGGTGATGATGATGACGTTCATGATAAAACATTCAAACCCGTACATTCGCCCAAAAGTACTACTAACAGTGATTTCGGCAAATAAAAATTGATTAAATTTTATTTAAAAAATTATTATTAGTTCTATTTGAGTTGATCTGCTTTAAGTGACCGTTCAATGCAGGCGGAGGACAATACAACAGGCCGTAGGGACCACAACCGCTTGATAGAGGTAACCGCTCAATAGAGATGAAAATTACTGTGAGTAATGGGAAACAAATTCGGGAGTTTGACAACCGACCGCTTAATACAGTGCCACGTAATACAGGTTCGACTGCAGTGAAAATAATTCCGATGATTGTAATAATAACAATCACCATCATCATAATTATAACTGTAATTATAATAGTGGTAACCGATAACAATATCTTCATTGTGTGTAAATTCCGTTCAGTCTCAAGCCTCCATAAGATAAGTCGTACTTAAATCGATCTGTGATTTTTGAGGCTGAGCATCCACGTGATAGCTGCGGTTGAAGTTTTACAAACGAATATATTTATGAAAAAAGAAAACATTTTAAAAAGGAAGCCACAAAAAAAAAAAGGAAAGGAAAACAAACAAACAAAAACACAACTCAGACCTTTTCCATCGTCTCCGCCTCACATAGTCATTCCAGCCACGCTCTCGGCGATAGGTCCTGAAGAGGAAAAAAGGCGGGGTCACATTCCAGGCACAGTAAAAAACAGCAGTTTAGAATATTATACATTTGTTTGGAGAGGAAATGTTTTCTTTTTTCATATCCCAACTGGTTTATCTATCTTAAGTGGTTTTAAGGACAGAAAACGATGTATAGCACAGGAGATTTGCATAAAGACGCCCAATTCAGTGGGAAAAGTACTGAACGATTTCCATCATCGTATTCAGCAATCACAATTCAAGCGAAACACTCGACCCTCCCTCACCGTCTATGACAGAAATTCAAACCTTGGAAAATCTACAGCATACTGCCAGCCATCTTTATCTGTAATGTTAGGTTTTGTCTCCACTGTCCATTGTTCATCAGCCCACTGCCACTGACTGGATGGAAGCACGTACCCCTCCCTTGTCCGTTCATACACTCCGCTCTCATCACTCCAGTTCCACCGGTCACTTGGAAGGCGCCTGCCGAGTAAGTGCCGAGCAATAAAGCCAAATGAAAGTAATGCCACCTTACAGCGAGTGTCTACGTAGAAAGACATGGCGATGTATCCGTCACAGAGGTAACCCGATCTCAGATTTACCTTACAGAGTCTCGGTTAAAATCCTCTCACTTATTAACCCCATACACCGTAACATCGCAAGGCATGTTCTCCATACTATTTCTACACATTTACTAAGGTGCTGACAAGGAAAATTTGTTCAACAATCAAGAGCTTGTTTTGCTGGTGATCATTTCCCTTTTATTCTCGTGACCTAAATGTTTGATTTAGGGGTGATATTGTAAAGAAAAATGACCGTGATCGACATCACAGTAACAAGTTGAAAATTGAAATGTTGAGATCACAAGACAAATGAAAAATATTGAAATGGTGTAACTATTATTCTGCTTAAGACAATAAAGGAAACATAACGCAAAGGGGGACTGAACCTTTTACTGAGAACCGATGTTGATAAAAAGACCAAGCTGATTTACCTATCAGAGTATCCTTCCAAAGGGTTCCATCTCTGATTCTCATAAATATAATGACAGTCATAATCCTCCTGTTGATGAATTCCAGATACACTGCTGTCAAAACCACTAAAAATACCTCCGCCATATCCCCCAGAGTAGTAATACGGCACTCCATCAAAACCAATTGCCCACACTACCCCCATCACACCGGCTTCTACTTTGCGCATATGACCACCAACTTGCCGCCAAAATAATTGAGCTGGTTGGATCTCGGTTTCTGGTGGAGGCGGCTCGCAAAAGAAAACGTCACCGCAGAGAGATATGGTCCAGATGGCCCTGGGTGAAGCGGATCCCTCGCAGTTATGTACCCGTGAGGCAGCACTGGACAGTGTTGTGACCCAGTCAATGAGGTCCTTTTCGGAACCGGTATGGATCACCAGAGGGTTTCGTTCTTGAGATCTTAGAGGCGTGTGAACAGCGAAACAGTGATTCCGCGACATTTTGTGAATGGTACAAACGCACTTAATGTCTCGCAAAGGAATCCGCATCTCTTCATACTGAGAGTTTTTCTCGTAGTAGCAATGCAAAGCTCCTGGCCGTCCCTCGGATCCTAGGTCGAGTCTCACCATACACTCGTACCACAGATTGGAATCTGCTGCTAGCAACATCTGGAAACGAGCCTTTTTACACCATTCACCCTAATACGAGTTTTAAGAAGGAAATGTTACGACAAAGAAAACACAAAAGCCGTCAACTCAGCGATTCACTCTATATTACCACTCCACTTTACCAAGTTCAATATCAAACCATTCAACACAGCTTTTTTTTTTAACTTTCACTGACCTGTGAGATACCTTCCTCGTACTTGTTGTCGCGGCCTGTTTCCTTTTCGTCTCTTTCCCGCAGTCGTTTTATTATGCTCTTCCTCCAGGCGGCATTCCTGCTATTTAAACTTATGAGATTCATGCTGCTGGCTGAGGAAACCAGACTGCCGCTTATCTCTGTGAATATCGAAGAGTCCACTTCACAAGCTCCACTGCTCAGCCAAGTCAAGAACTCGATGTTGGACGGTAGGTTAGATGGACTGGCGAGACTGAAGCTGTCATCAGACTCAGTGAAGACACCTTTAATAAGGAAAATCTCAGCTGCAGTGCGTAAATCTACCTTTACATCACAACATCACACTTCCTGAGCTCAGTCTAAAGAACATGGTCAAAACGGCAAACGCATTGTAGGGCAAGATTAGGTGATATTATATGTTCAGTTCCATTGGTAACAAAACTGACGAGATGCATCCACCGCATAAAAATCGAGATTAAATCCTACTAATGACGAATAAGTACCTTGAGCTCTCACTTGCGTTCTTTACAGGCTGTCTGCCATCAAGCTGTTGGTAAAAACCAGGGTTTTGGTTTTCGGACAACAAATAATGAGCAGTTCTTATCTTATAATCTTACTTTCATTATTTTCAGCAGAGCTGATGCCTTCAGAGCTGACTGTATCCAGGCTGGTGGCTTCGCTGCATGATATCAGGGGTCTGCTCATGTGCACGACCTTCCATGTCCTTCCTACCAGTTCATCAGACGTCACATCAGTGCGAAAATAAATGTGGTCACCCAGAGAACTCAGAGCAAAGACCTAAAAAAAGAAGGTCTTCAACATTGAGTATGTGATGGATTTTACTGTCACTGGTCCTAAATCTGTCGAAACTTAAGGGAACCAATTGTTTTAAAATGACATAAAGGTATTTGACATGAAATTTTGGTAGTTTTTAAAAGTTCTAAAAATCATTTGTAGGTTCAGAGCTACAATAATTTTTCAGTAATTCATGGTAACTCTTTTAAAAATGTTGCACAAAGATAAAACTTAACAAATTGATTTCAAAAGCAAAGTAACAATCTGAACAGCATAATATACTTTCTCTTTCTACCAACTTTACAACATGTTTATGGGTTTTTATATCAACATGAATAAAGATCATTACACTACATCAACTAGTCTATGAAATCACTCATAGAATCCCAGCTTAGATAATGTTTATGTGAACCCAAAATTTCTACATTGTTGACATAACAAATAGAGATCAGTAAACTCCCACTGACTAGTCTATGAAATCACTCATAGCATCCTAGCTATGTTATCATTTATGTAAACCCAAAATGTATACTTTTTTGACATAACAACTCCATATCAGATTACACGTGACATTGACATGCTCCTCACTGATAGCCATTACCCACCTGGTCATTTAAACCAATGGTAATAAGAGAAAAATTTCCAACCATTTGCACCCATCTGGACCCAATTACAGCAGTTTCTTCATCACTTGCCCTTGACAAGCCTTTCCTAAACCAAACCTGAGAGGCAAAACATAAGCATGACTGAACTGAGCAAATAAGAGTGACTACATTAAAACTAAGATTACAAATAATCACATTGGATCACTGTCCACCAATGGATGATAATGGTTTTTTTGTAAAGTGGTTGGCTTGGGTTGTTATGTAGTGATTTTTAGTGGAGGCAAAGGTAATCCCTTGTCAAAAACTGATGCACATGATATGTTGGCAAAAATAATGTTTTTCCTACATTTTCCACTTCTGTTTTCATTCGTACAGTTGTCTGGGATTGAATGTACAGTGGCTTTATTTATTGTGCAACACTTACATTCCTACATTTGGAGATATGATGTTGAGAAATATTAATTAAAAAAAGAAGATTCTGAATTATGACAAGATGCACAAGCAGAAACTGTAAGTCATGAGTTTTTGGTAAATTAGCAAACTAATTAACATCAAAAGTACACATCTCTACATGTGTTTATGAGAACATCATTCAAGTGGACCACTATCCCACAGCAATCCTGTCACTGAATGCTTACCTGGCCATCTTTGGTTAAGGCCCACAGACTGTTCAATCCAGCAGAAACTTGTAAAAGACGACATGGTTCCAGTTCTGGTGATGCATCTGGGGGAGCAATTTTTTTCCAAGCTGTCCCTGTGCAAATACATCAAAGAGTTCATTTATTCTTGTCAGTATTGATTAACTTAGGGTTGTACAGTAAAGCATTCAAAATTGACTAATGAGACAGAAAAATAAAACAAAAACTAGCAGACTTTGGGACTGTTGATTGTACCATAATAACTATTGATAATTTACCCCTTTGGATAAGCTCGTGTTCAAAGGGACAAGGCACAAGGAGTTTCGTGTTTCATTTCGTGTCAGTTTTCACTTTGAGCATTCATCAGAGATTGTGTACTGTTTCATTTTTCTTTCCACCCACCCTCCCACCCTGGGTGCTTTTTTGTGATGTCATAGGGTGGCAGAGAGGTTTATTAGGCACATCATTGGCTTTTGTTTACTGTTGTTTCATATTCTTAATAAACTTTTCTCTGTCCCAAAAAGTGAATTGTGTTTTATTTTTGTCAGAGGGCATAGTTGGGGAATTATTGTAGTAAGATATCTAGATGTCTATGCAAAGTTGATGGTTTGTGAATGCTTGTGATATAATTCAGTGGGAATTTTCTACTCCCTTATTCTGGCTAAGTTCTGGTCAATCTTTTATATTTCACATATGTTTGGTGCAACATCTTTGTTTGAAAGACAAGAAAATAGTTTTTTCCTTGATCTTACATCAAATGAATTAGATTTCCTGAAAGCCCTCAAATAATTCTCTCCCTTCTTACCAGTTGGTTCATAGAATGTGACTCCAATGCGAACCACAGCCACACCTTGCCATGTTACTCCCCATACCACTCCTGACGGGCTCACAGACAGCTGAGTGATGCTGACTTGGGGTGGGGGAACCTCTATCCACTTTTTACCTTCAGGACATTTCTCAGACACTCCAGAACGGTAAATAACCTTTAGGTCATGTCACATGCAAAATAGGAGAGCAAACTTCTGTGAATATTTGAGAGTAGTCCATAAGTTCCAAATAATATATGTTTGGTGGATTTCACTCCTTTCTTAGGTATATCCAGAAAACACTTAATTTTATACATTTTTGTGGTGAAACACATAGGGAAAATTTTTTAAGACTGAAAGGCACAAAGAAGGAAGAACATGTTAATTACAACCTGAACTTTATGCTTATGACTTCTTGCCCTGAGCTCTTTTAAACTTGTGATCAATTATGAAGCACAAATTACTGAAAAAGAGGAAGTGTTTGAGCTCCTACAGGTCCTTCCAAAAGAACTTCAAAAGAATAAATAAAGGGACACTGGGTTAGGATTGACCTACTTTCTTCAACAGAACAACAAGGTTGGAAAGTTACAAAATGATAGCAGTAAGTTCAAACCTTTCCCTGAAATGTAACAGCCCACACGGCCAAATAACCGGGATCTCTTCCAGGAATAACTGTGCCACCAATGGCAAGGTCTTGAAGGGGATCCTTTCCTGGGTCTTCACTTAAACCAGGAACCTAGAGAGGGAGGGAAAAACAGAAAAATGAGAAGTCTCACTATGGTCGACCTACATCTGTGTTTGAATCTAAATTCAATTAGAAACAGTCTGAAAAATTTAAATATAAAACAACATCACTGCTCTTCTTGAAATAGATGAAATCAAGGGAGGTCAAATCTCCAAATAGGTTAGACATATAATTAATGATACACAATAAAACAAACCTTTAGAATTAGGAGAAACAAGACACACTTTGTGCATGACTATCAAAATAGACTTGGAAGCAATATCAAAATGGTTAATCTGTCAGCCATATGTAGGTCTATAACTCTTGAAATGTACACCTCATTCAACATTAAATTTATCCCAGAGTGAAAATGCTACCAGAACTGATTACATATTTGAATGGCTAACAACAATAACACTCACTTTTCACAGCCTGAGTGCAATTTAACTTCTGCTTACAAGGCTTTAAACGTCACTTAGTTCAATGAAGCATTTTTGCGGTGATATCACAAAAAAAGTTTTGTATTCCTGGTCATGAAAGTATAATCACTGCCAGGCTTTCAGCCAATCAGTGGCTTTTAAAGTAACTGGTATCTTGCATGACATTCCAATGTGGCCTAAAAAGATAAGTAATTGTCACCTTAATCCAGCGGTCATAGCCATCAAATCTGTAGTATCTTGACCATAATCGCCTTCTTACACAAGATGTTTTACCCTCTTGAGGATGATAAGCTCTTGGGAAATCAAGAGCATATTCCCAACCCTTGCAGAAAATTATGATAACAAACAAAAATCAATTTACACATGATAATACTATGAGTAGATTAATGATAACACCAAGACAAGATATCGAGCATCAAAAGTACAATGTAATTCAGAATGGTCATGTTTTTACTTTACTGTATTACCCTGTGATTGGTAAAGATATCTTCATTCCACCCTTTTTAGCCATTCTGACTCAAAATTAAACTAACTGTGAATTGATCAATCATATTTTTTTTGCATATTAAGCTGTTAAATCAATTATACTTTGAGTTTTAAGTAGATTCTAGTGATATTACCCGTTTTTCTGGTAAGCATTGTAATAACTTTGGTTTTGGTTTTTACCACTGAATCATAGTGCACTCTCATACATCTATCATATTTGCCACTATTAATATATAGTTATAGAGGAAGTGGTCTCTCTCATTCTAGTTTAAGTAGCTCTACTCTCTTTAGTTTACTTAGAATAACTTTATTTAACATTACATCACTTTATTTATTTCATTGTTAAATATTTGCATGTGTTGTTCAGCTTATTTTGGATCTAAGATACAGTAACAACCTCATGTACATGTATGTTCAATTCTTATGTTAAAAACTGCACATAGTGTTGGATAATTGTTGTATTATTTGATTACCTCATTATCTCCATCAAGACCACGATCAATGTACCAGTCTCCTTCCCATATCCATTCCACTGATGGCAACTGAAATGAATCCTTCGGGAAAGACTGCTTTCCATCTTTACTGCTCCATGGCCATCGATCAGTGGGTAACATCTGGAATTGCCCAAGATTCATGAACAAATATATTACAATCACTTAGTCTACAAAACACTCCACAAAGGCTTAACATAACCACTTGAAATCTTTTCTCTACCAGTGAGTGCCTGATGTCTTATGGGAAGTACTATTTGTACAGTAGAATCTGATAATTGAAGGGGTTGTAACTAAAGAGTTGAATCTTAAGCAAATTTTAAAGAAAACAAATATCAAATAAAGTATAAATCAATTTAATTGGAAAAATATGTCGATACATACGATACCTGAATGCAAAAAATCACAGGCAGTTGCTCAGTTCGCTTTTTACCCGATAACAGAAGGCATAAACCCAGACACTTCCTGTCTCCTTAAAATACCGGAAGTATACAGTGCAGAGTTAATCTGTACTTAAATCCATCAAAAGATGTTAAGAAACAAACGATAAACGTCTCAGTCATCCCCCCTCAACATGTAAACTTAGAAAATAGTGATTTGAAACGAGTTATAAGACGATCTTACCGATTTTTGCGACCATTTATTAATAATTCCCCATCGCTGATTTTCATATGTTTCTACCTTCACTCTGATGGGAAGTTCAGTTGCGTGAACAAACAAATAAGGTTGTTGACTGGCACTGATTGCCCATGCACACTGCTCCACTGCTGAAACACGCTTAAAACAGTTCCTTGAACCAAGGCCAGGAGTTGAGACGTGCCGCCAAGACTTGTCTCGTAGATCAAATATGAACACTCGTCCATCTCGATCGATCAGCCACAGCCGACTTGTTCCCATCTCTGGATGACCGTTTTTATATCACATGTAGCTTGGTTACTTAAAAAGTATTGCTATATTGTCAGAGAAAGATATTCGTGTTCCATCTAGAGATCGAAATGACGGCAGAAATTCCACTACCTTTCACAAATCATCCACTTACCAAAGCAACAACAATCCCAGGCACATCATCCTCGTTCCCAGAGGCCTCGTTTGTTTGTGGTCACGTGGTTAGAGAAGTAACCAGTCAAGTCGCCCGAAGGATATCTCGCCCTGAGTCATGTCGCCTAAGATGGCTAATCGTGTCGCCCAAAATTTTTTGTCGCGTACCAAAAACTTAAGTCATGTCGCCCGAAATAACAATTACCTGTAAGATCAGACTTTAAACTGGGGCAGCAAAGGTGATAAAGCAATGTTCGTTTCCGACAACACTATGAAGACTTTTAAAGTAGTTAAAACTACACAAAAACTATCAGTAAAGTTTCTTAAAGGGTGGATAACGCTATCCAACGAATAATTCACTATCCAGCAGATAGGTGTTAAGAAAACATACAGCGCTATCCACTGAATAGAGATTTACTCAGTGGATAGCATTATCCACGCTTTGAACAACGGGGTCCAGATGGCCAACTGAAACATCATGAATATCAACGGCATAACACGATATTTTTTGTGAATGACAGAAATAGTAATATCAAGTTGGATATTCTTAGTGTGCGTGCATAAACTCGTCTGTATCTTCTTTTTGGACTTTTATTTTTATATAGCTATTGTATGGAAGCATATCTGCACGGATGGTTTTGCCAAGATGTAAAAGCGATAGCAAGAAGACTGAAAACTTGTTCAGCGGCTTAACTAGCAGTAGCTTTTTTTAACGAGAACACTCCGGTGTGGAAGCGTCTCCCAGTGGGCCTAAATCTTCCATCAAGTAACATCTGAGCAAGAAATACATCATTTCTTCGCACCCATACAGTATCAATCTGGGACGCCCCAGCACCTAGCTCCCAACTCGACAACTAGTAACCTGTGTGTCCCCAAAATTAGCAACCTCACATTCTCGAATCATACCATGAACCAACTCAGACAGCAAATTCAAAATCATCGTCGCCTGGGTCTCACTGAAGATTCTGTCACTGCCACTTTTGATGACTTAATTCTTCCCAAAAGCTCTAGTTGACATATTTCAGGACTTGTAGATCAGCCGGGAGAGGGTAATGGAAATGTCATGTGTGAGAGATTATTCAGCGTTAATTGATTTCCGGTTGACTTTTTGCGATAAGTGACAGATGATTGAACAATAGGATCATATTATGTATTTAAAATGAGAGAGACTAGAGCGCGAGACAGAGAACGGTGAGAGAGAGCGGGAGATTAAGTTGATTTTATAAAATAAAACGTGAAGTTTCGGAACATTGCAGATTCTTTAGTCTCATTTCCGACACATGAAAGGGGCTCCTTAATCTAATATAATACAGGTTTGAAGACTTTTAATGATAAAAGTCAAACTTTTTCTGTTCTAAACTGAACATCCAAGTTTTCCCAGCAAACAGATTCCTTTTTCTTTTTTTAGCAACGATTCTTTTACCGGAGGCCTTCATTTACCTGTGCAGCTAGTTGCACGCACCTTAAAACAATGAAGATGCTCATCACACACATATATATATATTTTTTGATACTCACATGCCATTGCTTTATTCCTTCGGCCAAGCCACAGCCAGAAGAAAAGGAATGACTCGCATTTTTTCTCCAATCGATGAGTTTTCAATAGGCGATCCACCTCTGATTAGCCCATCTCCCGCCCCCCATCCCCACTCCCCCTTCTTTAGGCCCTTGAAATTAGTAAACAATGCCGCACTATCAGTATCACAACAAAGCATTAACAAAGAAAAACAAAAGCGCAGGAAAAGACAATGGATTAAACTTCTACTACTTCTAATTTTGCATCTGAATGATCGAAAGGGTGACGCAAGTTTGTTAGACCAATCCTTGCAATCAATTCTTGATCAGTCTCGACACTAAAATGAAAATTCCTTTGATTGCGTATGAAATTGGCACTTTTCATTTGTGCAACGTCCAAAAACTGTTAACAATTAACAAATAGAGCCATAAAAAATTACTAGTTTATGATTAGCAGTCGCCGTAAGGGCGCCTCCTAAAACATGATCGATGTGTGGAGGGGCGGGTGTAAGGAGAGACTGGACTCAACAAAAGGGAAATGATGGAATGCTTGAGGTACCTCTTTCTTCTTATTAATATCACTCTGGCTTTATTTTTACTCCAATCACGATCAGGTTGAAAAAGCGCACGGAATATGACTAAATATAACGGAGTTATGTAATAACTGCCCTATTTACCTGTTCGCCCTACAACAATACAATTTTAAAGAATACGGAAGATAAGAAATGAATGCACAGTCTAAGGTTGTTTTATTAGCACAACAGAGTTGTGTTTATGTATAAAAGGGGTAAGTCTCTAAAGAAACTGTGCTGTTGCGTCGGTGGGAGAGTATAACAGGATAATTTGGTTTTATCAACTGGATGGATAACGTAAATTGGCCACCGTAAAGAGTTTCAAAGCTGACGTTTCAAGCGTCAGCCCTTCGTCAGATCGAATCGCTGATAATACTATTAATAATAATACTGAATTACCCTGTGTTTATGCATAGTTGCTAGAGAAGTGAATCGTGCTTTGGCGTGACGGCATGATAATTGATTTTAATTGTTTTGCTTTAATTTGAAGACAAAAAGGAGTCAAACAAACCTACTGATATAACTGAACTAGAAAATTACTTAATATTTTCATATGGATTCCACAAGCTATAAGAGCTGTATCCCAATAAAAACCGAGAGATTGCTTTTCTGTACCGAGAGTTAAATTCCTCATATACAAGGTATGCGCCTCGATTCCAAGACTTTAAGCGTTTTATTGACGAGGATTAGAAGTTGAAATTGGAACATGCAGATTCTTCGAACTTAACTGTGTGCTGACGTAGGCCATTGCGATTATTGCATATTGCGACATCAAACTGCGAAGTTCATAGTTGGGTCAATATTGATACAACTGTATGGTCCTGATGTTATGAGAAACTACAAACCATCTAGGAACATGTCAAATAATTACTCGCCCAGAAGGCAAAACGGTTATGTTAAAGAAATGGACCACGCTTTTACCCTTATTTTTCACAACATCAAGCGACTGCAGGAAGATCGATTGTGCATCAGTACCTCAAGCCTAGACCGACCACAGCACAATCATCAACAGTCGATGAAGCAGCCAAAGTTTATGACTTTAACGGAAAGGAAAACTTTGGAGCGAGCACGATGCAGATCAGAATCGTCTTTGGAAATGTTAGAAAAATGCATTCGACAGAGAGAAAAGTTTTCGGACCATGGAAGTGAATATCCTTTTTTCAGCTGTGATGAAGATAGCTCATTGCGAAGACGAAAAGTTAGATTTGCCGATGACTACGTAACAAGAGGGAAACTTGTTTATCGCGAATCTTATTTAGCCAAACGGTCAATATCAGATATACACTGACTTGGCCAATTTAAGAATTACTTTTGGATAAACCCACCGTAAAGTAGGTCAGTTGAACAGTAAAATGGATCTTAAGAAGCTTTGAAATAATCGACACAGTATAGCACTGTATTGACTGATACAATATATTGGTAGTCTTGATGGCGTGCTTTTTACTAACTACGAGTGAGAAGTAAAAGTTATGGTGCATTTTATCAAATTTTGTTGACATTTTTAGATAGTTGGGAAAACGTTCAAAGATTACGGCTCATATTGAAATTTGAACATCCACACTGTGGAATTGCTTTCCTCTCAATAATTTCCATGGTGAAACATACCATAGCCGTTATTTATGGGGTATGCTGTTTCAGTCACTATCATTACCCCACAATACTACTTAACCTTATTAACCCAACCAAAAGATTTCCGCCTACAAGTCGGACAAATTGCTTTAGTAAGCGTATCTTTAGCTTTTGGCCTTTCCAATCCGTCTGCTATCGTATTAATGCCCAGGGAGAAAGAAATGCTTATCCAAAGAAAGAGTTGTATAGGTTTTTCTAGCACCTTAAGTATATTATACCCTGCGGCCAAGTTTGATAGCAGTTTGCAATTTGCATAGATTTTTGTCATTTGTTTATAGGTCAGATGATATAAGAGCTAACTGAGTACTTAAACGTGTAAATTTTAGACTTGCTGATGGCGGGCAGTCTTTTGAGGAAAGAAAGAGGGGACCTTGGGGCTGGTTTTAGACGTCTCTTCTGATGATGATAGTGGGATTACGGCGAAAATGAAACGACTTTAGGAGTTGAGGTTTTGCTAACGGCCATTTGTGCACTAGTCGTGCCAATGAAAACATGTTTGCCCTTTTAATGAATAGCATGTTGATATTTTCTTGGCGGCCTATTTGAGGCTTTCAGGAATAGAAAATAGCTGATGTATAACACAATTGTTGGCGTTTACATGTTATGCAAACATTTCATAAACATGACGTTGATTAAGATAGGCATGGGGGAGTCAGGAAAATCATCAAATTTTTCTCAGCCTCCCTTCCCTAGAGAGAAAAACTTTCCTAATTAAGCCTACATTTAAATCTGTTTATTTTTTCGGTCACGCCCCTACTCGATACACCTGAGGAACTGGCTCAAAAGGGTAATTACCAATCACCAGCGAGTGGAGAAAAATAAGTAGTAAAACGTTTATCTGACGTAGTAAGAATAAACTATGCGTTTTCAGACTGCGATATTGTATAAGGAACAACTCTGGCAACTTCAAGATCAGTTCTCAATCTTAGAGGAACAACAGCACAGAATTATTGAGGAGTGACGTGTCTCGGAAGAGGAAGAAGCGTTGAAGATGGGAGTCAGATACAATCCGTTTGGAGACGATAGCATGACCGGTTGTTCAAAGCTAGGTTAAGATAACCCAAGGCTAATTTGTTTCTGATTTTAGATTTAAAACCCTGGGCCCCTAACAGTTAGCGCTAATAGGACTTTGAACAACCGGGCCCTGTTTAGTATACTTATGTGGGGCAAATCAAAGAAATTTACGAAGAGAGGCAGAGGTAGAAAGTTATTTTGAACTGACTGACAAAAAAATCAGACCATTATTAATTTTCATTCAGTTTATTGTGCGGAAAATTACACCTATTCAAATTTACAGAAAAGAAGTCATGCTTTTAAAACCACTTACTAATATATGGGTTTTTTCATATATCTATGAGTTTTGATCATCTTTTTGAGGACAATCTTTTTCATATAATAAGATTTCACTCTTGTACTTCGTATGCAATAGCTATTTAAGAAGAATCATTTGATAAATGAGATATTTGTCTCTGTTGTCTTGATGTACTGCCATCTGCAGATACATCACTCGCCATTCCAAAATCAGCCATCTTCGCGACCAGACCTTTTCCTACTTTTACATTCCTACATGCCAAGTCGCAATGATGGAATTTCTGACCACGCATGAAGGAAATTTAGCATTAATAACAAAGTACTGTGTTGTAACCAGTTTTCTAGTCGTGTACACTTATAAAATTGTCATGTTTTCTATCACTTCAACAGCAGTTTTGTCTCCTCAATTCTTATCGATTCTTCCAAACCTTATTTTTTTGCTTTTTATTGTTATTCTTGCTTTCCTAGTAGTTATGCATCATTTTTTTCTTTTTCCTGTCCCATTTAGCTTTGCTTTGTTTTAATATTTTTCGTTTTTAGTGTTCTCTTTGAACTTTTTCATTTCGCTTGCCTCTCCCTCGTTCAGTTTGTCTTTTGTTTCTTTCTTTCGAACTTTTCCATCACCTTTCCATCCTCTCCTCCATCTATCGTCATCCGCAGCTGTCAGTCTCGCGTTTAGTGATGCTTATTAGAAAATCTTACAAAAATTCTCTCAGAAAATGAAATACTGCCTACTCATAAGAGCACGAACAAACCTATTTATTTTCCAAGTGCCTCGTACCATTAGCGACGTCCGAAGTTATCTGATAAAATTCTATCTCAGTTAAACTTGACGATATGTTTACATAAGTTGAATCATTTTGTCGATTTTGGACGCGACTGCCTCGAAGCAAGTCATGAAAACTTCCACCAAAAACAAATTCAATTACGACGCAAAGAAGCTCTCGAAGTGAAAAGAGGTGATGTAAGATATTTTTCTGAGAAAAGTCACGGTGCCTTCTAGCATTACACTACTCTACTGACAATGGTGTAAAATGATAAGGCCTCATGAGATATCGTCAATTTTAAGCAACAATAATTTATTAAATCAATCCATCAATCACTGTAGGTAAAGAGCTTATTTTAAACACTAGTACTACACGTCTTTTAAAAAAAATTTACTTCATTATCCCCCGAAAGAATTTCATTGAAGTAATTTTGCCAGCAACGCTTCCTATAACTTTTAAAATCGCCGATTCCTTACCTGCAAATGTACATGCTCCAACCAAACTGGCCTGAGACTTCAACGTGTCCTAGTGGGACCCAACGGGACCCCGATGGGGAAACCAGTCTCGTGCTCAGACTCTGTCGACCAAGAGAATAACAATGGCGGATGAAGTGAACATGGTTACGTACCCAGCCGTTAAAGCAAGGGTACACGTTTAAATATCTGCACAGGTGAATAGTGAATTCTCTCAGAGACATAATCACCCTGTGGTGAATATTATAAATATCACACTTGTCCATAACAGAAAATGGCGAACATTTTGAGCGGCTTGATCACCGTTGTGGTCAGCGTGGCAGCGTACTTGTACTACAAACATACGAGTGAACAAAAACGCATTGAAGCAGTTTTGGACGGTCTTAAGCTTACAGAAAAAGAAGCTCCTTTGGAAGGAACGCCCAGAGTTGCTGTTGGCTTTGAAGCTACCATAGATTATATCGTGGATGCTTTGGAATTGTTTGAAGTGATGAATCTTGAACCGCCAGAGAAAGCCAAACCTCACGACATTTTGAGGAATGAGGGAGAGTTTATGGAAACATTTGCCTTCTTCTTTAATCATAGCGCAGCGTCATCGTAAGTCTGTTGATGTTCATAATACCTGGCGTATTTTTCCATTTTGTATACAGTTAGATTGTAAATATTTAATTTCATCAGAGGGCACAAGTTGGGACCATTACTCATAGACCGCGCCCGGACACTTATTTCTCTTGATGTCTTGGTTTTGGATGGAAAGCTCTGTTTTCAAAGCAAGGCAAAAAAAAAGGACCAAACGACAATTTCAGTTCAGTTTAGGAGAAATGAGTGAAAACCCTTGACGGACCTTATTACCGTTCCAGTCTGTCAAACCTTGAAATAAACATGAACTTCTCCCTTTTTTCACACTTGTCATAAAGCTTTCTATACTTTATTTGATTTTATGTATTTTATTTATATATTGTTATAAATAAATTTTCCTTTTTGTATCATAATAATAACTAATCTGAAATGTTACAATTAATATACAATTATTGTAACTGTATGTGTAAAATTTTTTGGAAAAGATTATCAGGAGAATATTTTCAAAAGATGCTGTGTGGTACATCTTCCCTTTCCTGAATGAAAGACAATTATTTTTAATTCTTTTTCAGACGTTATATGGAAAACAAAGAACTTTTCCAAAGAATGTGTGAAAAAGCTAATGAACTGGAGAGTAACTATAAAGCACTAGGAGGTACTGGTCTTCACATTGGGAAACGTCTTGCTCTTGAGGGATGTAATGTACTAATGGCCGGAGATACATCTAACGAATTTATAAAAATGCTACCTAAGGGCATGTCTCCTGTTGGGAATATTGTTCCAGTTGATGACATTCACATGCTTTTGGAATATCCTGCTCTCAGACATTGGGGAAAATATACTTCACAAAGAGCTAACCGTTTAGTTGTACACAGTGATGAGAATAATCCTTACTTACGTTCATTACAGGAATTTGAAAAATCATTCAAGGAATTCTCTCCTTCGGTTCTAGTTGTTGGTGGTCTGCATATGCTGGATAACTTTCCAGGGTTTAATAAAGGTGATAGCAGTCAAATTTTAAAGAGGCTTCAGTTGTTTTTGGACACTATTTCTGTTCCCATCCATTTTGAAATGGCCCCCTTCCATCAAGAAACATTCTTTGATGAACTTTTGCAATATGTAATTCCTTACACGAGTAGTATGGGTATGAATGAACAGGAACTTCCTAACTTGTGGAGCAAGCTGCTCTATGGAAATATAACAGTTGTTTCAAGTCAGAAACCGAGAGTTGCAAAAGTACTGGATCTCATGAGAGAAGTGTACAAGATTTCAAATGAGAACTATGGAAAAAGTAGGAAGAGACAGTTGACAAGACTACACATCCATACACTGGCATTTCAAGCAATTCTAACCACTAAGGGATCAAGGTGGAAAAATACCAAGGCAGCTTCGGCAAAAGCATCTTTGACAGCAACACGTCATGTGTGCGGCTCAGAAGATATTGATCCTCAGAAATCAAAGTTACTCATGGATGACTCATTTTCTAAGAGTATAGTTCCAGGCAGCCCCAGAGTTGAATTTGATACCAGTTCACCTGTATCCTGTTGGAATGAGGATGATTATGAAATCTGTGTTGCTCCTGTGTTAGTTTGTACCCAAGTATTGCAGACAGGAGGTGGCGGAGACCAAATTACTGGGGGTGGTCTGGCATTACAAATTTGAATGATGTGTAACTTTCTACACTAGAGATGATCAGACAACACTACATACAATAGTGTTTCATTGAGAGATAACAACATGTGAAAATAAAATTGAAGAATTTCTGTAGAAGTGACTTGTTATTAAACTAGCTCCCAAGCTGACCATAACAGGGCCTTTTTTCATGATTTTAAATTACTATAGCTACTGAAGTTAATTTCTTATTCCATTTAAATTTTGTAATTGCATTGAGTTTTTAATATCAATAGCCCTTTTTTTTTGGAAAAAATAAGCACGTGAAGACTTCTGGTTGTTGTAAGACAGTGAAATATATGATTTCATAATGTAAAAGGCCTCCAGTTAAGGACCAGTAAATAAAAACAGTAACAGGTGAGGAAAATCAACAAATATGATAAGATAAAAACAGTAATAATAACAGTTATAATAATGATGATAATAATAGTAATAGCAATAATAAAAAATTAAATTTTCAAATATATTTCATAACCATCAAAACAAGTCAATAATATGCAATAAAATACGAGTACTTTTTTACAACTTGTGACCACGGTTCTTGCTTGTCGGCGGTTTTACCCTTGGGAGTTGTGCTGTGCGATTCTTTGTCCTTTCAAAGTACTCTGAGAGGAAAGAACAATTCCTTTGAACACGTGAAAAAAGGCTGTGAAACAGAGTGAATATAATTTATTTGTTATTTCAAGTAGGACTGAAAAATTCTCCAAATGGCAAATATTTTGGCTACCATAATCGCCATTGCAGCTGTCGTGGCAGCATATTTTTACTACAGACACGTAACAAGCCATGATGTTCGTATTGTTGCAGTCTTGGAGGGTCTGAAGTCTTTGGAAAGAGAAAATCCAGTGCACGGAAAACCTAAAGTAGCAACTAGTTTTGAAGCTAACGTGGATTATTTTGTAGATTCTCTGGAGTTGTTTGAAGCGTTGAACCTTGAACCGCCCGAGCAAGCCAAACCTCACGACATTTTGCGGACTGAGAAAGAATTTTTGGAAACATTTGCGTTCTTCTTCAATCATAGCGCAGCATCATCGTAAGTATTGAATCTGAACTTTTATGCTCAGGTCCTGTACACTGATTAATGGAGATCTCTTAGAATCGTCGATGATTTCAATTTTACTGCGCTGGTATCTTTCTAGGAGAGGGTTACTTTACTTCTGCGGGGTGCGTAGTCAAACCTTGAACTAAATTACCCGCGTATTACGAAACTGTTCATATGATTAGGTAAACCAGTAATCAGTTTCGAAAAAAACTGACGCTGTTGCAGTTCTATACCTTAAAACTTTGGGCCTGAGTTAGGGTGGAGTACAAGCAAATTTCCAGGATAGAGCTGTTTAATGAACAACTGGGACTTTGAACCACCTTACTGCTTGAAGTCCCTGGACTAACCCTACACTCAGGCTTTACCTTAGCTTAACTCTTTCTCCACTTGAAGAAAAAAAATAAGAAATTCAAATTAAAAAAAGAAAGCTTTAATTAATTACTGTTTGATTCAATGGGCCAGTTGTTCTCATGTTGTTTTTAATTTGAAATTAACACATCTTAGCTCAAGCCCCAGTATTGATATACTCAATATCTCTTTCTAATGGAATTTGATAAAACAATCATACTGAGAACACATGAAGACTCTTTTTGTTGTTTTGTTTTGGCTACTTTCCCACAAGGTAGAGATAGGATGTGTGAACCTATGAGAGAATGGTCTGAACAAAATGACAGAGCAATGGAGAAGTTTCGGAGGATACTAATCCAATTTCAAAGTTGCCCTAAAAGCTTTGTTTCTTGGCCAATTATTCATGTTTTGAAAAGTCTATCTGGTGCAGGAATCATCAGTGGATGTACCTGCCACCTGAAGGGTGTATTTGATAAATATCAAGAAACTCTCATGGGAGCCAGATGAAATCCTTGGATTTACCTTGGATGGATTAGTATTCCATCTTGAAGGAGTGAAAATTCACCTTGTTGCTTCATTTTTCTAAGTTGGGATAATCTGTGATAATCTGAGGGTCAATATCCTCTAATCAGGGTATATTAAGTAATATTACCTTGTAAGTAATGCTGAACCTAAGTCTTAAGTCTAAGATACACTCAATGTTAAATAGTTTGGACCTAGCTATGAAGATCTTGATGTGTGACGCTTTAAGTGCTTAGACTGGTCAGTTTGTCTAGAACTTACAACCTTGTTTCAAACTCTAAGGGCAGTAGATTTTTTCAGTGAGTTTTGATCAACCCTACAATCAAACTGAAACAATTTTTTTTTAACATTTTACGGAGTGACAGAGATACATAGGTTATCAAGATGTTTGTTTTGAGGTGGTATTTTTCAAAAATTTTGTTTAATGGGAAGAACGGAACTCACTCAAAATATTGGAATATGAAAATCCACTATCGACCCTCTATGTTCATATTATTATTTGAACATTAATTAATGTTCTTTAGAAAAGGTCTGCATTTGAGAAACAATGTACAATGCCTTTTTTTTTTTTTTAGCCGCTACATGACCGACAAAGATCTTTTTCGGAAGTTAGTCCTCAAATCCCAGGAAATTGAAGGAACTCGTAAACTAATTGGTGGCAGTGGATTACAAATTGGTAAACGCCTTGCCTTTGAAGGATGTCATGTTCTTTCAGCTGCTGATTCAAGTTCAGAATTACTGGAGATATTGCCAGAGAATTTAACAGCAGTGGGGAACATTGTAGAGGTTGATGATGTCCATTTGTTGTTGGAATATCCTGCACATTTTCCTTGGGGAAAGTATGAGTCCCAAAGAGCCAACAGACTAGTTTTACACAGCGATGAACACAATCCATATCTGAAGTCAATGGAAAAATTTCAGGAGAAAGTAAAAGACTTTTCACCAGCAGTTATGGTTGTATCAGGACTCCATATGTTAGATAATTTTCCTGGCTTTAACCCTGGGGACAGTGGTGAAATATTGAAAAAACTATCATCTTTTCTTGACACATTGAAAGTTCCAATTCACTTTGAGATGGCCCCATTCCATCAAGAAACGTTCTTTGATGAACTTTTGCAGTATGTTGTTCCTTATTCAAGTAGTATGGGTATGAATGAACAGGAACTGCCTAACTTGTGGAGCAAGCTGCTCTATGGAAACATAACAGTTGTTTCAAGTCAGAAACCAAGGGTTGCAAAAGTACTGGATCTCATGAGAGATGTGTACAAGACCTCAAAAAAGGATTATGGAAAAAGAAGGAAGAGACCACTGACAAGACTTCATGTCCACACATTGGCATTTCAAGCAATTCTAACCAGGAAAGGATCAAACTGGAAACACACCAAGGCAGCTGTGGCAAAGGCCTCTTTGACAGCAACACGTCATGTGTGTGGCTCAGAAGAAATTGATCCTGACAAATCTAAATTGTTTATGGATGAGTCATTTTCTAAAAGTATAGTTCCAGGCAGTCCAAAAGTTGAATTCAATGCCAATTTGCCTGTTTCTTGTTGGGATGAAGATGATTATGAAATATGTGTTGCTCCAGTGTTAGTTTGTACCCAAGTATTGCAGACAGGAGGTGGCGGAGACCATATTACTGCTGGTGGCCTGGTACTACAGATTTAGACCAGGGACAATTTGTGTTATAAATTTTTAATTTTTAACAGGGTTTTCAGTTGAACTCAGTTATTGGAACTGTACCACCACTCATAAGGCCTTAATTACTGCTGCATGTGGATTTTATATGCAATTTTTGTTGTAGAGAACTTAAATTACAAATCCATCTCCTCTACTAACAGTAGGCACTCATGAAGGCAGTTCATGAAACCCTTTCTTTAATTCATTGGGCATAATTGTAAAACACAGATATGAACTTGAAAGCACCTTGACATGCAGTCGTAACATGTACATATTAGCAACCATAAAATTCTGAGGCAAATTCTCAGATAATAGTAATCTCCTTCATAGTCATTTGTTGGGATGTCAATCAACAGCCCTCTTATCACTAGAAGAGAGAAGAAATATTTTCACCATATGCTTAATGAATGTTCTAATTTGTTTGAAATGAATGGTGATATTCAAATTCTGTTGAGATCAAATCACTGAATAGATAAAGTAATGAACTCAAGTCTTGCATAATGAATGAGTAAGTTGTTTTGCTGTTCAAAAATGGCATATTTCTGAAATGGGTTGATCAGCAATAAGTGTGATGAGTGTAACTTTTTTATCTGATCAGACCAAAGATATATGGAATGCAAGGGTGGTTTTTTCTAAGGTTAACTAACAGGAGTGAAATCCACATTCATCTCTGGCCATATGGCCCATTAATTAATTAATTTATTTATTTTTCATGGTGAACCCCATCATTAAAAAGTATTGTTGGATAGCAATTAGAACGTTTCAATGCAAGTGTAAGACACAAAAGTAAATTAAGAGCTCACCCCATCACATCAATATTTTAAATAATACTGAATAAAGAGATATTCAACAGCTATTCATTGACGTGGAGGTGGCTAGTGGTGGATATTTACTAAGCAGTGAAGAGGCAAGGTGTATTGCAAATATCCACCACTGGTCTTAATATAGCACAAAAATATGATTTTAACTCATTTATTCCTGCAATGGTTACACTACTTTTTGACGCAAATCCTGTTTGCCAATACTGGGAGGTAAATAGCAAAGGATATTTGGAACATGAGTAGCCAATCAGAGCGTGCTTTCTATACTATCTGTTAGTTTGGTATATAATGAATCATTTTTATTCAGACAAATAGCTTTTTTAAAACAATTATGAGGTCCTATGAAATTAAAACATACACTGTAAATTTAGAGTGTGAAAAAAACTTTGTAGCTATATGGATATTTCAACATTTCAAGAAAAGTTTGGAAATGGCGAAGATCTTGAGTAACCATAGGTCTAGTTTGAGTGTTAAGTCTATCGCCCTTTATTTAGATGCCAACAACAAAAGTTTAGTGGCTTATGACCTAAACAAACTTTGTGTCATGACTTGCTTAAGAGGCAAATATTAAAAATGTTGCTTCAGTGACAGCCGTCTCAGTCTCTAGTGGTGTTGCTTTAGCTGAGTTTAGATCCACCCTAACCCACTGGAGTGTCTAGTCATGCATTAATTTTCTTCGTCTAGCCTGACTTGTAAAGTACACCAGTGCTACAATTTGTAGAAAGTCTTTTAAATTTGAACAATTTCAAGTGATTTTTGAGAAATCTGGAGACGCTCTCGACTGTTTATTCCAATGGTGATGGGAAGCCACGAAACTGGTAGATCTTCTCGTCTCCCATTACCCTTTGCGGTAGGCGGCGGTATGTGCCCGCCCTAATTTATGTTTATCTTCAAACTTAACTATAATCTAATGTAAACTTACGCACGCCGATAGGGCGTTAAAGGTGCAATGACCGAGAAACAGCGACTTGAACGCTCTTCTCACTCTCCATTGAGTGGTGCTGATGGAAGAGTGAATAAATTGAAAAACTTAAATCCGATCACGGGTGAATCTGAAGAACCCATATTGGTTAGCTTCGAAGACGTCAGTGCTGCCTCCTACAGGATTCGGAAAGGGGTTAAAAAAACACCATGTGAAGTAAGTAATTAAGCTTATGTGAAGTGAATTCTAACAATAGTTTCCACAAGAAGTACTGACCTTTTGCTCGATCGCTGTCATGCGGTCTGAATTATTTACTTAACATGTCGAAACAGGTTTCTACGTTGTGACAGCGTAGCTGCTCTCACGCAACTGAGGGCAAACTCATTTCATGTGGGAATAATCATTTCATTAGCCGGCTGCGTCAGAGTATGTTGCTGTTTTAGCTGAGAGTTCATGTTTTACCTAAGAAAAAAATAGTCTCATCTGTAATCAACTGTTAGGCCCCATATTAACTGAATTGAACCAGAACATATTTATGTCAACAATAATGTTTGGTGGTAGTGGACAGTATTACATCACAGGAGTTGCACTGGAGCTGGTTGTCAAGCCTCTTTGTGTAATTTAAATTTATGTTTTATTGAGTAACACGATCACACAATGACTTTGAAATTAACAAACTGAGATTACCATGTGTTCACTGTTTCCTACTCTATTTTACCTTCCATTACCTTTTACATATATTTTCATAACCGGAAGTCACTTGTGATGGCTCTTTCCTGAGCTGGCCCTCACTGTTTACTATGTTAAAAATAGGTACCCAATGGGTACTTGTGTCTGCTGCAGTGGAATGGAATCTGCTGTAGGTGCCAATTTTTTGGAATACTGTTAAACTGGCTAGAAACATCTCCCGAAAGGCAGTGCTATGGAATGCTCAAGGCATCACAAAGATGGGGAACTGAAGTGGTGAATGTCCAATGCTCCAGTTGGAGGTAAGGGATCATCAATATCAATCATCAATATCATGATTGTGATTACATCTTCATCACTGTTTAAATAACTTTTATTGTGTTATGGTACTGCAAAGAATCTAACATTAAAGTGAACGTTTCTTTTATTTTGTAGCAGAATATTTAAATCAAAGAATTGAAATACAACAGCCAATAGTTTTTAACAAAATTGAATAGTATCAGAAGTCTTTGTAACACAAGACAACTGTAATGCAAACTCAGTAGCAGTTTTGCAAAGCAAGAAAAAGTCTCTGGTTGTAATAATTCCTAGGAAATCATTATGTTTTTCATTTAATGGTTATATGCAATCAATTTGGAACAAAACACAGGTAAAACAAAGTTAGTATATTTACATTTTGTGTTCAAGTAACCAATAGGTGAATATACTTTTAAAAGTATTTTGAAGTGTTTGTCTTTTAATTGAAATGAAATGTATCAGAAATGTAACGCAACAGAAATATTATCCCAAAAAAAGCAGCACGTGTACTTGTAAATAATGTTTATCAGTCAGAGAAACAATCATTTCACTTAAAACCAGTGTCTACAAAATGTTTGTTGCAAACTGTAACAAAACAGGTATTATTAATGTTTGGTATTCAGTAGTAATTTCCACTGATGTGTGACAGGAAATTGTTCATTTTATTCAGATTTGCACTGACTCCACTATTTTTGTTTGTTGTTGAATGTTATGCTGGTTATAGTTGGTAACTCTAGAAGAAAGGTAGTTATGGTTTCTTCAGTGATCGGAAGAGTGCTCTTTCCTTGTGACACTAGCATATCATGCAGGATGTCGTTGAACAGGGTCACTGTGATCTTCGATTCTTTAATTTGTACCAGTAGTTGTCCATAACATTGTTGAATGGTGGACTTCATATTCTGCTTGAGCCCACAAGTTGAACAGGTTAGTATGGGAGACGTCTCTATTACCAGCTTTTTGTTACAGTTGCAGCAGGCTTGATATGCCGTGACACTTCGCACTCCAAGTATTTCTGCTGCTGCTGTTGTATTGGTAAAGTTCTGAGGTAGCTCAGCAGGATTAATGAGATCCACAGAATTGTTCCCAAAGTGTCACCTTAATGGCTCCATGTGGGTCCACAAGATAGGCAAACAACTTTTTTTTTTCACCATACTCTGTCTTCACTTTTTTTGTTGATGACATCTGAATAAGTTTGGCTTTGATGGTGATACTTTGATTTGTGTTTGCAGCTGAAATTGATTGGATATTGTTGGCACTTGGCAACTCAATTCTTGAAAAAGGTATTTCTTTTGTAGGCTCTAACAGTACATTGTTATTCATCAGTACTGTGGTTGCATCTCCTGCTCTTTCAATTCTAAAATTTCGAAGTTTTATTGGAGATTTCTTTTTGCTCATTTGATCAAAGTGTTCCTGTTTACTTCCGGAGACGCAGACTCCTCTTACTAAGCCATCGGTGGTTTGTATGGACATGTCAAAGTAAGATGTCTTGCTACTTTTTTTAGTTGGAGACACATTGTGTAAGAAACCAACAATCTCTTCTTTTTGTTCTTCCATTGACTGCAAGTGAAAAAGAACCTTTTGAGTTTGTTTCATAGCAATATAATGTATTTCAAAATTTCTAACAACAGGGAGCACTGCATCAAAAGACGACGACGACTACGACTACTACTACAAATTTAACTATAACAACAAAATGCCAAAAAAAAAACTTACCTAGGTGAATTATAATTTTTTACTTGTTTACTTATTCATTATAAATCAATCAACAACAGCAGCCTCTACAGACAGGAAGGAATAACACTAAATGAAGGTTGGGGAGTGCAGTATACTGCAAACTGTTTATTAGATGATACTAATACTGAAAATCAAAGTGAACAAGAAATAGAAAAGAGCAGTGGTTCCAATAAGCAGGATGGAAATGACAGTAATGATAATGATGATCAGTGGACTGAAGATGAAGCAGAAACACCTGCTGGTGTTACTGACACCATGTTGACCAACACACATTATTTTGAAGACAGTCTGCCTCAACGTATTTTAAATGTTGCACCAGGAGAGGGAAACAAACCCTTAAGTATATTCAGAGATCAATATTCTGAAGAGTTAGCATATCCTGGTATATTCCTTGGTCAAAGTCGACCAGAAAATAAAGATAGACTAGCTAATTTTCATTATAGCGACATTTTTAAATCTGAACTAAGACGATCAGATAGGAGAGCTGCTATGTGTGTTGAAAATATATTCTTCAAAACAAAAAAGCTTCAAATGAAAATTCTCTTAGGAAAATCACAAGTTGCACTTAGGAAGTGCAAAGGAAATAGCAAATCTTCAAATGCTGGACAGTTGAAATGTGAAGGAGCAATTGAGCACTTGATTCATCTTGATGAAGGATTCCAATTTTTGAAAGCATTGATACCTTACAACTGTATGCAAAGATCTGTTCATAGTGATGCTTAGATAGTTATTATCATGAAGAATACTAGTTCTAGGTTTCTCTCCTCTGTATAAAATTGCCACAGCTTTCGCACATGTTTGTCTAGTGATAGATGTTTTCATGTGTGTAGTGAAATACATGTATCTTCTGCCAAATCCATTTCGTAAACAGGGCATATTATATCCCGCATTGGGCTTTGTAATCCCCAAGTGAGACTTAATAATTCCCTTAACGGGCTTTTCATTCCCCAAATGGAGCTCAATTGTTCCCCGAAGGAACTTTGCATTCCCCAAATGGGGCTCATAAAGCTTATTTTGCGTCCTGAGCACTTGCAAAATGGCCGGGCGGTGATCGTGTTGGCGCCGAGAAAGCTTCAGTCGATTTACAAATTCAAAGCATCTTTCAAAACCTTTCACTCGGCCGGAATGACACCCAGTGCGAATGCTGTGGCAAAATGAGAAAACACCTTTTAAGGAATCCATCATAAATATGAAAAGCGAAAAGATCACTCACCTTGCAAGCAATAATACACCCTGGCTTGACGAACGAAATCAGGACGATACGACGCAACCCAAACGTTTTTCGAAAGCACATAGTTTGACGGATTTGACTTTGTCCTTTTCTCAGATTTGATTGGTTCCGAGTCTTCCCGGAAATCGGTAGTTTGCCACGACCTCTTTCCTTTGTCCTTTCCTCGTATCCGATTGGATAGATTATTCCCCTGAGGAACGAAGTTTGCACCCGAAAGTATTACAGGCCGAAAGTATTACAGGCCGAAAGTATTACCCCTCCGTGCATACTTCATGTATCACATCACCAAATGGAATCCGCAGTGAAACGTCAAGAGTAAATCCGAGATCTTGTCGTATATGAAGTAGCTGGTCGCGCGTTTTACAGCTTATCTAAGTGTCTGCATGCATTATAAATGCAGCAGACACAAAAACAAATGATAAAATTTGAATGTAGCCTTGATTGCTGTACAGTTGAAAGGTTTCAATTTCAAGGTACTACAGAATTAAAACTTTGCTAAATTTTACCATCTGGAGATTCATTTCTGTAAATTTGTTGCTCATGTTGTGTTTTAAACCACTGATCAATGTGATTTGTCTCATTATGGCTGACTTATTATTAAATGTGATTATGAACTGGAAATGATTGAGTTAATCATGTTTTGATATTTTACATTATTACAAGACTGAGGCCTTCTATTCAAGATGCAACAGTTATTATCAGTCAGTCAGACAATGTTCTCCATAAATTCTCAATGAATTTCAAGTACATTTATGGTTGCCAGAAGATTTAGGTTGTTTCAAATAACTTATTATCTACCAATGCTATAGATTAGATGATGATCTCAAAGCATGATAATGTTTTTTTTGAGGGGTTTCATATTCACAAGAAATTTTTGTACTCGTGCAGTTTTCATGAAAATGAAATATAAATTTGTGGTCATTTGTTTCAACATAGTTGTGTTCTGAAAATACTTATTTACTTGGTCAGTTTTGTCTTTCTTTGTGTTGAGTAGGGAGCTAGTTTTGTAGATACTGTACCTTCACAGAAAGCACATACATTGTACGTTAGATTTTTTTCTAACAGGGTGTTTGGAATTGCGCCAAAAAATTACAATTTTTTTTAATCTTTAATCATGATTTCTAAGAAATTCTTAATGGAAATTAAAATTAAAGCATGTTATCATATAGACTTTGAAACTGCTCCAAGTAAAGGAGATTTTCTTCTTGGACCATGACAGTTTGTTTATATAGTAATAACTTGACTTTTTGTGTAAATGAGGAGACTTTTGAAATCATGTGAAACACTCTTAAGCTCATGAATTAAAGGCTGTTTGTAGTATTTTCATTCATGTGTTATTTAACTCACAAGCATGCTTGTATAAATATTTTAATTAAATGGTTGATTTGGAAAATAATTAAGATATTATATATGGTTTTTTTTTAGAGATCTAGTATGTCAGAGGCATTGAAGATGGACTTGTATTTCAAGAAGGACTATCTTCAGCACACAGGAAGGTAGTAAACATGAAATCATTGCAGATTGGTTACCATGATGATATTTTCAATTTTTTAGGAGTAAGATAAAAACATGGGTGAAACCTATGTATTCTTGTATTTCCTAATTTCCAACAAAGAAACAGTGGAGGTCTCTTGCTAACTTGTACTGAATTATTACAATTATTACAGACATAAGTGGCAGGAAAATGGGTTATTGTAACAGTTGTGCATTTGATAGTGGCCCTCTACATTTGGAGTTTCCAAGTTGCACTATTAAAGTCAGAAAGAAAAGCTGAAGAAAACAAAAACTAAGCCTTAATTCATCACATTTATTGTGGGTGCAAGAGTTCATAAAAACTCTGAGAAATGTAAGAACAAATAAGTGAAAATGCAGGATCATAATATCTTTGTCCTTATGCCTTTCTCCCATTTTTAAATGCATGTGCTGGCATTTGTAGCTTCTAGGATTAAATGGATTTTAGAATGGACAATTTGAAATCTGTATCCTGACTAATGTTGTAATTTAATTTAGCTTCAAAGAGAGAGGTGCCAGAAACACACTTCTGATGTTGTCTAAAGTAGGTACTCAAAATTCATAGTCAAATACATTTGTTTGATATTACTCAACCTTTTTCTCCCAATAAGAGGACAAGTTGTATCAGTGACCATGCCTGTCCCTAAAAGTCTCACATGGAATCTGAGAGTGTAAATTTGTTATTTGATAATTTTAGTAGGTCCAGCTTTTGCTTTAAAGACTGTTGAAGAAGAAAACATTGTAATTTATTTCAGCTTAAGATCTAGTAAGTTTAACTGATATAGTACTTGAAAAATGGTCAGTAGAAACCAGAAACACTTTTCTTCATATCTTGAATATAAGCAGAAAAGGTCCATTTTAAGCTCAATTTTACTTTTCCATAGGAGCAAAAGGAAAAAGGTGTAATTGCAGCATCAGCTGGGAACCATGCCCTTGCATTATCATATCATGGGAGAGATCTGGGGATACCTGTTACTGTTGTTATGCCATTGAATGCTCCCATTATGAAGATCTCAGCTTGTAGGAAACATCAAGCTTCAGTACATGTGAATGGAGCTGATCTTATAGAGGTCAGAGTTAGCAATCATTGTTTTCTTTTACTAGTAAAAAAAAACTTGATCAAATATGTTCTTGCTATAAAATCAGATAACAAAAAAATTCCACTTTGTGTCCAAAAGATTAAACCTCAGGTATTGGTATCTGTTGTGTATAATAATAATATTAGAGCAGCTGAGCTTGTTTTTTGTCATAAAACACTGTTGTATTTTGTGCACTTACATGTATGTAACTTGTAAAAAAGAGAAGTGCAAAAGTAAAAGCAATGCTGGAATTTACACTGTGTCTAGCTATAAGAAGGAAATATGATGCAAAGACAACTCCTACACAATTTGGAAATCTGATCTTAAAAGGAAATCAAGTTGATCACCCACATATGCTAGATGGACTTTTTATCTTTATTTTGTTCCAGTAGAGATTACTACAGCTTATTCAGCTGGCCAGGCCATGTAACACACTTCCAATTAGAGAGACTCTGTTCAACAATAAGCTTTATAATATTTCTTTTAAATCAAGCCTGAATGGCAAAGTAAATTGGGAATGTCTAAATTTGCTGTTCAGAGTCTTGCTGAATAAGTGAAAAAATGCTTAACATGAGTGGCCTTCAATGACTGTTTTAGGTCAAGTTTATCTTTCAAGCTTGTGCCAATCTGGTGCAGGGTTACTTATGGTGCTCATGATGTTATGGATTTTTGGAAGGGGGGGTGGGGGAGGGAGTACTTAGGTCAATTTTTGCTGGGTATGTGCTGCTGGCCTCTCAGAATCCCTTCTACAATAAAGCAAATGTAACAACTTTTTAAAGGCAAATTTTCTATTTTTAAACCTTTACTTACTGCAATCTTGTAACCCCATAGATCCCAAAAAATTTGCGATCCCATTCTAATAACTCTATTGAAAATGTAATCCCATTATCATCTGTCTAGTTGTGAAAATGGAACCCCATCCAGCGGCACATCCCATTAGCCTCTTCCTAGGAAGTATCCTCCACCCCTCCCCCTGGGTGGGCAATTGTCACATGTTTGAAAGATTAACTGTACCATATTTAACTTGATTTCTTTGAGTTTTCACAAAGATTTTGAATATGTGTCTGTTCTGTTGTAGTAAGTTGCATTAAAATGGTTTGCAAATGTCTCTAAACAGTCCAAAGAAATTGCCCTCAAGATGGCGAAGGCAAACGGATTAGCTTACATTAACGGGTAAGGAAACTCAAATTCAGGTCTTTTCTATTTGCTCGGTGATATATCTTGTAATGGAAGTTTCTTTCAGGTATGATCATCCTCACATCCTATCAGGCCAAGGGACGCTGGGTTTAGAAATTGTAGAGGAAGTTCCCGACCTAGAGGCAGTTGTGATTCCTGTGGGCGGTGGAGGCCTATTGGCTGGTGTTGCTGTGGCAGTCAAGGGGTTACGCCCTGACGTGCAGATAATAGTAAGAGAAAATTATTAACCTTCCAACTGAACCTTTTTGTTTCAAAATGCTTAAATTTTGTTTTTCTTTCCTAAAGTAACAACCCTCCCTATTGTCTCAGGAAATAGAGAAGGTTGAGTTAGTAAAATAAAGCGCGATGATAAACGGCGCGATAGTAGCGGAGGAGTTAAATAACGAGGGAACTTTGGGTCGGGTCGGGTAAAGAACGCTTTTAAAAGTTTTAGCAACCGACCCGACTAAATCTCCCTCGATTTTCCGCTCCTCCGCTACTATCAAGCCGTTTACATTTTGCTCCGTTGACTATATGAACTTCTACAACAGGCTACACTAACTGAAGTTGACGATTTCGTACACAGCATGCGGCCTACAATTAGATGGCTAGATGCAAATCGTTAGTTTTCAAAAGTGAAAATCAGGGTGAACCAACTTATTAAACTGTGAAAGGTTATTAAGGGGTAAGTTTCTAAAGAAAATGTGGTGCTGCGTCGGTGGGAGAGTATAGCAGGTCCAATGGACATCGTGTTTGAAATATTTCCCATGTTTCCTTACGGTTTTAGTTACTTTTGTTAAGTGTCAATACTTAATTTATTGTTCTCCTCAGGGTGTAGAGTCCAAGCGCTGCGCTAGCTTTCGGGCCGCAATGGATGCTGGTCATCCTGTCAAGATAGACGCCAATCAGTCTCAGACATTAGCTGATGGTAAGAATTAACTGGCGCTTTGTTAAATTAGGCGCGGAGGCTAAGGCGAGACTTAAACTCCGAAGCAAGGTTAGGTTTTCTAGGAAATTAGGAAGATGTTACCATAGGAAATGTAAAATTTTAATGGAGTTTTGTTGGAACCTTTTTGTTACGAGACATACATGTAATCATTGAGTGAGTTCTCTTTTCCTGCTACCTGAGCCCTGTCTCCTTGCTCTGTGATTTGAACCATATCGTTGGTATTTGGAGCCATCTAAGGATCAGAAAACAAGGATTAGGAACAAATTTGTTGCGAGCTGTTCCTGTGCTGAATTAGTGTTATTAAAAATAACTGCTTGGTTCCTGCGAGTTTTTGAACCAAACAGTGAATACCTCATCCTCTCATGTTTAGCATTGTTGTTAAATGAAATTCTTGTTATTTTGTTGATTTGTTTCCCTTTAATTGTTTTGTTAAAGTGCTTGCCAGAAGTTCGCTACTTGTGGACATGTTTTAAGGTAGCATCAATGTTGAATTGAGATCTTGAGACAACATCCTATTTACACTAAAATATTGCGACCAGCGCTGTGATTTAGTTTCCTTACCTCAGAAGTGCACGGTAATCGAAGATAGGGTAAGGCTTTTATATTGCAGACTTGGTGGACCATTTCTTCAAATTCGTGGACCACTTCAGTTGTTTATATCTTGTACAAAGGCTCAGCTTGGGTTATAACTGACCAAGTAATGAATGTGGATGAGTAAGGAATTCCTTTGGTCATCCACTTGTGCCCAGGATCTTCCACATAGTCATCTTTGTGATAACATTACGTTTAACGCAAATGTTCATACCAAACGAAGCAAGTTAAGTACATGAACAACTTTTGACTCTGTCCGCTTCAAACGCGCGATGAAGCTTACTTAAAGCTCATCTTGGTGAGCATGAAGCAAAACCAACAGTAAAGGTTTCTTTACTCCTCCTTACAGGATTGTGTGTCTCCAAAGTTGGTTCAAACGCTTTTGCAACAGCCACAGGGCTAGTTGATAAAGTTATCAGTGTCAGGTAATGACATGACAGCTACCATTTACAACTGATTTAATTTTCTTCATCAAGTCTTTTGAAGGAATAGATGCACCTTCTCTGTTCGTTGATTAACATTATGTTTTGTCTGGGATTCTTCGGAAACTGCAAAACTCTCTTTCAAGGTGGGATTTGTTTGTTTTTTTTTTTCAGCGAGGATTTCATTGCCCTCGCCATACTACGTCTTATTGAGGAAGAGAAAGCAGTTGTTGAAGGGGCTGGAGTCACAGCCTTTGCTGCTGTTCTTGCTGGCATGTTACCTGAACTACAGGATCGCAAGTAAGGCGGATGGCTCTTCACAATTTGATTACAAAGTTTAAAAAGGCTTAAGGTAAAACATGCCTAAAATATGTAAAAATAAACTGATCTTAACATACCATAAATATAATTCTTTTTGAAAATTTTTATTGTTGAACACGTCAAAATTCTTATTGCTCTTGCGTAGAGTTCTGCATATGATAAGCTATTTTGTACATGAGACCGCGCTATTTCTCACAGAGAGAGATCTGCTGGTATTTTGTCCAAGTAGTCCTGCCCAAAGCTAGTCTGCATAATTTAAAAAAGATATTTCTTGATTCTCAAAAATATCTTGAATAGCAAATGACTACAATTGTGAACGTCTGAGCTCGTCATCAACCAATCTAGTGAGGCCCCTAAGAAATTGTAATAGGAACTTCTCTCGAATATAAGGACATGTTTTTTTTTCATTGTGCAGACTTGGCTATGTTAGGGAAAGGAGTGGAGCATTAGGTTACCCTGTTTTATCATATAGAATTCCTATAAATACTCAAACTTACTTCGTAGGGAATACTACTGACCTGCTAGAAAATATCATCGACCTAAGAGGTCCCAGATACCGTATACCAGTCCAAAAATTCTGGGCCTAAGGGCCCGTTTCACGAAGGTCCCGGTAACGTAACGGGCGGGGGCTCATTTCTGCGAAGGTCTCGGTAACTTAACGGGCCCGTAAAGCTTTTGTATCTTCATGCAAGATGGGGTTTTCAAAAGTTTTAAAAATTATCGATAAAACTATCAGCTACAAAAAAACCAAAATGGACTGATAAAGATGCCAGAAGCTGCTTCTCTATTCTTAAAATTTTGATTTTAAGATATGGCTTCGGGCTTCGAGAAACGGGCCCCTGGTCCAATATTACATTCAGTATGTTTTTGGCCATGATAACGTATGTCTCGTTGCAGTTTACCGTCTTTGTTGTCCCCTAACTAACTCAGTAGTTTGTTTTTAGGGTTGTGATACCGCTCTGTGGAGGAAATATTGACTCTACTGTGCTTGGTCGCTGTATTGATCGAGGATTAGCTGCAGATGGAAGGCTTTGTAGGTTTATTGTTACTGTTAGTGATCGGCCTGGTGGAATCGCTGAACTAACGCGACTGTTGGCTTCTCTGGGAGCCAGGTATGCCTCTAGTTGCTTATTAAAAAGTATCTCTCAAGTTGCTTATGAAAAACTATCTTATTTAACTTGAGTACAAAATTCACTGCGAATGCAACTTTTACTTTGCAAATTTTTATGACAGCGTGAAAGATATTTTCCACGAGAGAGCATGGCTCGTGTCCAGTGTGTTCAATGTTCAGGTAAGAAAATTACCTCATTTGAGTGTGATTGCATTGTGTGATTGCATTATCTCCCTTACCCTATTACACTAACAGATCATAACAAATGTAACTTAGACTCGGAGAGAAGTATCTTATCCCCCAAAAGTTGAATTTAACCAGTCTTAGTTGTAACCTGACGTGTTTGTGTTCATTTCAACAGATCAAAGTAGTACTTGAAGTAAGAGACCGCGAACATGGACTTCAAGTTAAAGAAGCCCTTCAGCTACAATATCCGAATAACGTGCTGTGGGGACTGGACTCAGGATCTACTGCCTCTACTTCATGAATTGCCTGAAACTAATTACCTCTACACAATGAAGACCAAGAAATTCTGTGTGGGTTTGAATTTTATTTTCTGGTTGTGTGTGAGTTGAAGAATGTTTTTCGGTTTTACGAATTGTATGAAAAATTTGGGATAGACAGAAACTTTGAAGTGTGAGGTTCTCCGATGCAAAGAAGTGCTTGGGAACTCAAAGGCAAAATGGGTCTGTTAAACTAAAGAGGATCGTTATATTCACCCTTGTGCGAGGCCCTTATTATTAGCGCTTAGCATGAGTGTACTGCGAAAATATGGGACCTTGAACAACGCGCGCCGGCGAGAGGTCTGCGAGGGTTTTGGCACTGATAGTGCCAGACCCCGGCAAACCTCTCCCCGACTAATGCCACTCATCTCAAATCTTCCCGCTGGCGGAGAAACGTAGCACTATTAATTAGGGCGTGCTCCCAAGCTACCTTTGTGTGGGATTCGCCATGTGGATGTTCTATTTTGTAGATTTATCGAAGTTATGGGGCTGAGGAATATTGTAATACAAGGGTCTTTATGAAAAGTTTTTGTACATGTATTTATTTTGACTGCCAGTCAAATTTTGTGAGTGAAATTGTGAATTTTTTTTTTACCGGGCTGTTTTAAAAAGGAAAAAAAACTGAACACCTCATATAGTGGAGAACTGTCTCACTCTAAAGTATTTAACTGCTTATCGCTATTTTTATACAACCTGTACGTAGTCCAGAAAAGTCGTGTTTTTTATTTATTTCGTAACATTTTTGCTTTATTTGATAATATTAAGTCCCTAATGGGGAAATTAGCAATATGTTATTTAGTAGCGAAATATAGAAAATATCTTCAAATGCCTTAAAGGTTAGTCTCAACATTTCTATGTAGGGTCAGTCAAAGGGACATTCGGGATTAGGGAGTAAATTTGTCGCTGATCGTAAAGGGACCGCACAAAATGTCAAGGTTATGTGGTCACTTTTAAGAGGCAAAGCCGTAGCGAGGGGAAACATATATTGATAGCTTTCAGAAGTCTTAATTGCGCACAAATGCATCATAATAAAGTTAAAGCCTTTGTAACGAATTTGTCTCCCAAAGGTTATTCGTTTGAATGTGTTCATGTTTCTTAGTGTTACTACGATCATTGTCACGCTAATTCTATTTTAATCATGGTGAACCAACGAATGATAATTGGACAGGTAACAAACCTTCTCTCTCTCCCACCTCTGTTAAACGGGGATCATGTTAGTTCGTCGCTTAAACGAGTGGTCCATACTGAACAAAAGGTAGTTAATAGTGGTTTGGCTGGTTCAGAGAGGTTGTTCCTCCCAAGGGGTTTTGAATATAAAAATGGAAAGGAGGACTGAACTCTACCCCTAGTTCAAGGCAGTATTGATCAGTTTTCGACAGGAATAATTTCCTGATCAACTGTCGGAGATTGTTCGTACCCTGGGCTCGGTCACTGGCGGCAATTTGGAGAACAATCGGCTTCAACGGGTACTTCTCCTTCATTAGAATTATCGAAGCCGGCACAAGCTGCAACCAAAAAGATCTGCTGGAAAAAAAGAAAGCGAAGTACAATTCATGGTCCCAATCTCGAACCACGACTCCGCTAGACACGGAAAGGACTTCGACCAAGGACGGTTTCGAAAGCGAGCTCTATTAAGCGAAGTCTTATGCCCCGTTCACACTAAAGCTTAAACATGTTTAAATCTTGTTTTACTAAACTGGTTTTATTAAACTACCTGTTCACACCGCGGGCGCGTGTAGCCAAACATGTTTAAAACCGTGTTTAATAAGTAATAACTTTATTTATTTATTTAACGAGGGTAGAGACATTGATTACTGGTCACCCAGTAGTTTTCATAATGGCCCTCCTACAATTAAAGTACTAAAATGTATGTGGTACCCCGACTTCAAGATTTAAAGGGCTAGACAACACACCGGAGACGGATACAACTTGTGTGCGGCCTGTTAAGTAAGATCTGAACCAGTCTAGTGTGTTTGTTGCAGTGTGGTATTTATCAAGTTTAGCAAGTAAAATGTCATGGTTGACTAAGTCGAAGGCCTTGCTTAGGTCTAAAAAGACAGTACCAACGAGTTCACTGTTGTCCATGGCTTTCTACCAGTTGTCGGTAATATTAAGCAGAGCAGTTTCACATGAGTGATATGGGCGGTAAGCGGACTGGTTACTGTATAGTAGATTGTTCGAAGTTAGATACCTAAATGAGGTTGTTTAACTTTCGTGTTTAACTAAACACATTATTAGTCTTCTACGTCTAAAAGCTGATACTAGCCGCATAGAAGCCTGCTGATAATACACCAACAAACTTTTAATGTGCGCAGAATGCGAAATTCCACGAAAGCCGCGAAGATAATCATTCGACAACGGTCCATTCCTGCCCAGTAGTTCGAGCGATAATTTTTCTGTATCTTGTAATAGAGAGAGATACGGTACTAATTGATGCATTTGTCAATGAATGAAGTTTTGATCAGAGGATACTAGTTTGATGCGACCGCCGCCAAAAAATTGGAAATTGGAAATTGAAAATTTTTTGCCAACGTTTGGCTCGCGAAAAATTGGCAAATATTTAAACTCGCTCTCGTGCGACCCGGCCCTAAGAAAGTAATAAAATAAATACACCTTCTGTGACTTTCTGGCGGGGTGGTATGTCACCTTATAATTGCCTTGGCGCAAAGATTGTCATCCAACATGACATTATCATCCAAGATGCCGACCGCCAGAAACCCAAGGTTTTTTTTTTATTACAGTCGAGCCTGTAGTAAGCGGTCACCCACGGGGAGTGGTGATCGCTTAATACAGAAACGATAAAAATTGCACAAAAACTCGCTCAAAAATACTAGTAACATTGATTTCGGGAGATAAACATGACTTAAATTTTACTTGAAGATTTTCTTATTTTTATTTGAGTGGTTCCGCTCTAAGTGGTCGTTCAATACAGGCGGAGCACAATACAAACAGACCGATGGGACTCTCGGTAAAGGGTGGCCACGACCGCTTAACTGGGGGTGAATAATTGAATAATTAAGGCTAAAAGTTTCGAGATTTAGACAACTGACCGTTAAAATAGTGGGTGACCGCTTGGTATGGTGCCAACAGGGGCCCGTTAGTCGAAAGTCCCGGTAACTTGACGAGCCCAAAAGCATATTTTAAAATCAAAATTTAAAGAGTAGAGAAGTAGTTTCTGGCACCCTTAGCTTTACTAGTCCATTGTTATTTTTATCGTTTTCAAAACGTTTGAAACCCTCACCCGGAAAGAAAATTAGAACAGCTTTTGAGGCCCATTGAGTTACCAAGGGGTCCCGGTAACTTAACGGGCTCGTGAAGCTGTTCTATTTTCATTCAAGAGAAGAGTTAAAAAAGTTTTGAAAATTATACAACAAAAATTTCAGCTAAAGAAACAAAATGGACCTGTTAAGGTGCCAGAAACTGTTACTCTTTTGTTTAAAGTTTGATTTAAAAATATGGTTTTGGGCCCCATTTTGTTGAAGACATCTGCTTTAGGCATACACCGCGTATTTTGTAGTGAATGGAACGTCATGTACTCGTGCGGCAACACAAGTTATCAGTTCTGGTAATCGCTCAGCTACCTAAAGGAAACAAAACAGTCAAATCCTTTGATGATCTAGGAAATTAAGAGGCTCATGATGACTAAGACTAAGCTGTACACTTTAGCCCTAATTAGAAATAACAGCGATGTTCTTCTTGGAATGAAAAAGAGAGGATTTGGTGTGGGACGGTGGAATGGTTTTGGCGGGAAAGTGCACTCAAATGAAACAGTTTTGGAAGCAGCGAAGAGGTAAAATTACATAGTACTTACTCTTTATTATAATTTCTTATTCAGTCGGCTTGTGATATATGAGTTTATTGTTAAAGGTAGATTTTCTTCCGACGAAGCAGACGATGGTTTGACCGATTTGAGACGGACCACTATGAAGGCACGCGGTTCGTCTGCAAGAGAGTGCAATTTGTCACAACGTGCATGAGCCAAACACTGTGTTATAGCTATTTGAGTCACGAAGGAAGAATCCTACGATAGCAAATGCTTTTACCGCACTGCCTTTGGAATTAGGCCTTTGTTTCAGAATAGTGTGAAGTTATAAAAAAAATCCCTCCAAGTACAGGGTTATCAAAAGTTTATGACAATCTTCACTTTGAAGATTGAATCTCATGTAAGCATATTCTAGTTTTATATGTTGTGTTGAGGACAATCTGAGTTAGTCACTAGTCATGTCACTGTTCTTGTAGGGAGTTACATGAAGAGTCTGGCCTTATAGTAAATGAACTGCAAGAGGCTGGGCTTTTAAAGTTTGAATTTATTGGTGAACCTGAAATAATGGAGGTCCATGTATTCACCACAAATAAGTTTGAAGGAACACCAGCAGAATCAGAAGGTAAATGCAATGATGGCATATCGAACTGTTACTAGCTTATTCAAAAGTTTAAAAATCATACATGAGCAGTTGAATTTCGACCTGATAGAATTTGGGTTTAATAACAACTTAGCCTTATGTGATAATTAGACAATATTATTGTAATTTCAGAAATGCGGCCTCAGTGGTTTCCAATCTCAGAGATTCCATTTGATGATATGTGGCCAGATGACATTCTCTGGTTTCCATTCCTGTTAAAAGGACAAAAGTTCTCTGGATATTTCAAGTTTAAAGGACACTCAGAAATACTTGATTACACATTAGAGCCAGAATGTTAAGTTGGGCATTTTGTTAAAATACTAATATAGGAAGGTTAATGTTCAAGTATAATATTTTAACATGGTTTTAAATAGTACATAAAACATTCAAAATAAATGTAGTTCAAATTTGTGCCAATAGGGGCCCGTTAGTCGAAAGTCCCGGTAACTTGACAAGCCCAAAAGCATATTGAAAATTAAAAACGTTTGTGAATACAACATTATATTACAATGATGTGTTGTTCTGAATATGATTGTGAATGCCTCAGCATCCAAGATCAATTCAATATATTTGGACAAAGCCAGCAAACTAGACTGAGTGTCAGGTTAACTTACTTGGTAAAATTCTGTGCAGGAACAAACTCATTCTTTAAATGCTGTAACTGGTAGCTGCTTAAAAACAGTAACCAGTCGGAAACAAGTGGGTCTGTAATGGACAGTAGCACCCATTCCGCTTGCATGTTTTCTGTTTTCTTTTAATTATAATTTCTTTCCAGCTTAAATCAATCTTTTGAGTATATACGGAATCAAGGCAAAGATTACAATGTATTTCTTGTCAAGACTGGTATTTAACTGTTTTGTCTTGATGAAGTAGCCAGCACTTCAGAAACTAGTAACCTGTGAAAACCCTTACATGGACTGTCCCAATAAGGTGCTGTTGCTGTTTACTTCATATATAAAAAAAAAGAACAAATAAACTGAATTTTGATACCCACAGTTGAAAGTATACTGTTATTTGTGTTTCATGAATAACCAGGTTCAGTTCAATGATCTTTCAATTAGGTACTTGTGCAGTTGATATTTGTAACTGTTATTCACTCTCCAAGCAGCAAGAGTCGTATGGAAGCAATGGGACGTAACTACTTCCAGTGAAAAGAATATCATGGAGTGGGTTTTCTTTCTTGGTGAGCCTTATAATATGTGTCATTGGAAAAGAGAAATGAAAAAACAGGTAAGTACTTTGCTAATACTGTATACAGAACACAAACTTTTATTTTCACTATTAATTAATTAAATCTGTACAGATGTTGATAGAGAGCAAACTTACATTAAATGCACTAACTGTTTCAACACAAATTTTCAAAATACCTTACACTTCTGAAACAGTAGCTTGATTTACACACATGGATGCAAATACAAATTTCACAGACATTACATATCTGTATTGTCAAGGATAATGCTACTTATAAATTAATCTTTAGTTGGTTGTTCACAAGAATGATATTTGTCTTGTCTTTTAACATTGCTGTCTATTAATATGAAATTTATTTAATAGATCCTCAGATCCTGAAGCAGAATAAATATTTGGATCCCTCTTTATAAAGAACTAATGGGTGGTTAGAAAGCTAACATTCATAATGTCAGAAATTCTTGGTTGGAAAATGTCCAAAAAGTAACTACAAAGTTTAAGGGTGAATAATTAAATTTAAATTCTATTCAACAAGAGATGAAAAGTTCATAGCAGTATCCAAATCAATCTTCCAAGACTCTTCATGTAAGAAAGGCACTGATAGTTCTTCCAGCTTTCTTGTCTCTTGAATCAACAGATACATGGAGGCCCCTCATACATCCCTCCAGGTTATCAAGTTTACCACAGGCTTGACACTGTCATCAACAACAATCATAATGATATAAATTTAAGATAACAAGAGAGTGACAAAAAACTGTTGCGTCGCATTTTAAGAGTGTGTTACATTTTGAACATTCTCTTTTCAGTAGTGCACATTTTAAATTCAGTTTGATTAGCTTAGTAAATAAAATTATCTACAAAAGAAATACAAATCTTGCATTAATGAGACTCCAGGAAACATCCATTCCCTTTGATTAGGGTTCAGGTTATTTCTTCAGATTAGGGTGAGAAGGGAAGAGAGGGGTCAAAATCCTTATTTTAAAGACAAGCATGAATCAAGAGGAGAAAAGTCAGGGTTCTTGCCAAAATTTCCATTGTGGGAGGCACAGTATATTTAGAGTCCACAGAAATCCAACAGAAGGGAGAAGGGGGTCAAAAACCAACTTGAAATCTTATTTTAAAGACAAGTAAGAATCTACTATGCTTCCTTTGTGGGAGGCATTGTATATTTTCTAAACCAACAGCTATAATTGTAATAAATGTCTAGATGTGTAGTCACTTACCATCTTTGAAATGAAGAGGAGAGAAATGTGTTGCAGATAACAGGTTAAGAAAAAAGAACAGAAGTAAATTACTTTGGGCAGAATATTGTTGCATGTTAAACAACACATAAATGAAATCCATGTAAATCTAAGCAATTATTTTGAAGATTTCATTCAGAACATTTTAATTTTAACTTACTATGAATCAAAGCACATAATTGCTTAAAATTTAACTTATTGCTTAGATTTCAGTAAAACTGAACAACTTTTCAGTACTTACCCCCTTCAAATTTTTTATTGTTGTCAGGAGACATTTGATATAATGAAAAAAATAAGTAAATTTACCATTAATAATAATTGCACATGAAATTCACCACTATTTATTCAATGGATGCAGCCATAAAGGTTATATACATTGTAGTTGGAAATGTTTTTCACAATAGCACACTTTCAAATCAAACATCTCTAATCAGGCAAAACTGCAAAATTCATAAAGTCAAAGGCTAACAGTGCACTATTAACTACAAGAATTAACCAACAACTGAACCTGCATGTGATCATAGCATGATTGAAGGTGGCTTGAGATGACATTTGACTGGTGTGCATCATGTAATTTATCAATACATTTTCAATTAGTTTTCTCTTTACATCTTCTACTGTCTTTGTTGTGTTATATAACAAAACACTCAAAAATGTTACCCTCAAATTTCAGTTTTTTCCAAGGCTCCATGAAACGCAAAAATTCAGCGGAAAAAATATTTTCCTGTTGCAACAAAATCTTGCTGGTGGCTCAAACCTTTAATGCATTAAATATGAACTGTAACCATTTTGTGAAATCAGATGTAAGAAGAAGAACTTACCCCCTGCAAAAGCAAGCCAGGCATATGAAAAACAAACATAACAAAAATTAGTATTAAATCATTACTGTGAGTTAGTTAAGCTATTTTTGTAGTCTCATTGGTAAAACAAGAACAGATTTAAGCTACAGCATCCCTATACTTTACCATATGTGCAGAGAATACATGCAAGTCTACTCAGACTATTGCATATCAAAAATATTTCTAGTCAATTTCAATTGTTTTATATTGCTATAGTCTTACAGCCACATGTAATACATAGCAATAACATGATATTCAATTGATCAATTACTCTTATGTCATAAAATACATAAACTAGTTTGTAAAATGAATAAACAGAAAATTTCACAAATATTGTGAGTTCTGTTCTCCAGTAGAATTAAATGCTATTTCTTACAGTAACTTTCAATACTAATGTCAAAACTGATTAAAAAATAAACAAAACAATATCAAGTAAAAACAACTCCTGTTTAAAATGTAGAATGGTGTAGATCCCATTCAAGTATTTCATATTAAAAAAACAAAGTTAGAAATTAAAGAGGAATTTTACTTACAAACTGAAGAGAAGGACATTGTCACAGTTGGAAGAAAAGAAACACAAAAGAAAAATTAGTGATAGCAGGCATGATCTGTTTTAAGGTAACTCAAATTCCTCTGAAATTCAACATGAGGGTGACAAATAAGAAAGGAAAAAAGGTTTCTCTGGGGAACAGTCTGTATATTGTGTTCTTGAGATAAATTTACAAACTGTTTGCTACTCTTCAAATTTGGCTGGAAGTAATAATTTCCATTTATGTTTTCTTCAGAGTCAAGTCACATGACATAAATGAGCAACTGGATTCACCCAAAAGTTTAACTTGTTCATTTTCTTTTTTATGATGCAGTTAAATGCAATTTAATGGAGTTAATGACAAAGAGCATCAGCATTCTCTAGTAGTTAGCAGTTTTTTTTGCATATGCACATGCATCAGAATTCCATGTGCCTTTGGTCTCAGGCTTTGAGCATGAACCTGCAGCATTATGAGGAGTGGCAGTTTTCCCCACCCACTTCCCTCCTTCTTTCTACTGTTTATTCAGTGTGGCAGGTGCCTTTTTCCCTTTCCTGTGTGGGGATGTATGGCTAGGTTGCCAGGATTTTCCAGCCATGGGAGAAGTCTCCATCTAGGAGCTGGCTGTCAATAGTGTAAGCCCCTGGATGTTTCAGGCACCCAACCTCCACTTACAGATGCAGTTGTTGATTAAGTAATAAAATCATTCCTAGGTCTAAAAAAACAAATTAGTCACTTACCACATCCACAACCTTTCCATGGCACATAAAAGAAGGAATAAAAAAAAAATCAGATCTATTGTACAGGTTTAACTCCAGATTAGAGGAAAGATGTTGAATTTCAACTTAAATGGATTACAGCACCTTTGAATTGTCTGTTTCTAATTGACTATAAAACATAAACTTGGTAGGGAAGGGGTTGTATTTTGGGAATGGCTGATTGTAAATCTTTTACTTGGATGAGGTTAACCTTCATTTGAGGAGTCTCATCCTAAAAAAAATTGTAAATTCTCAAATAACACCCTGAAGCTAGTATCAAAACTAACACAGATTAAAAATGTTATGAAACAAAGCAGAGAGTTTCTAGCAACAAACACCAGCTCCACTTGGAAGCACTGTAGCATTAAGTTTTTCAAGAATGGGGACTTGGTAAACTCATGTATTGTATATTGATAACACTTTACAAATTAATGTTAAATAGAAAAAGCATTCAACAGATAGATGTTAAATGTACATACCGGCTGTTGATGTCAGGTAAGATTCAACACATAAATGAGAAGGAAATGAAAGAGACAAAGTAAACTTGCTTATATTTGATTTTTAGTATATATGCAAATACTTTATTATCAGTAAGACAAACAATTGATATTTTTATCATTTTGTTAAAAATAACAGAATGGGGACCACAGATTGCTTTTTTTGATTGTAAAAATTATTAGTATCATGCTTTGCCCTTGCAAAAGTGTTAACATCTCAGAACAGACAATGTCAGTGGAAAAACATCTGTGCATATTTTCACCCAGAGTGGAGGCTTTTGTCCGAAGTTAAAAAAATGAGGCTGCAAATTACACACCGTTTTCAACTACTTGTTGTCATCTGATGAAACAAACATGTTACCATGTGACAGCATGGAGTATATTCTACTGTTTAAGACGATGAGACACTGTCCCAAGTTTTGTTATGTTCCAATGTGCACTTACGAGGGCTCTCTAAACTCTCCACTCTTTAATTAAAAACCCTCCTGTCTGCTGCACCCTCCCCTCCCTACCTATACTAAGTTTGCTAGCTGCATGGGAACAAAGTGATGAACTTATCATAAAAAAAGAGAAAAGTCACTTACCCCTTTGTGCCACCTGCAAGCTTCCTCATGATTACGGTGTTCGCTGAAAAGCTTATTGCAATAAGTACATAGTTTGGTGTCACTAGCAAGAGTTTTAGACGTCACTGCAGAGGACATCACCGGAGATGATGGAGCGCTATAAACCACTCTCGATAAAGCTCCTTTGTAACGAGTAACTTCTGGAGACTGTCTCCCTCCGTATGAAAGATGATTCGCACTGCTTGTTCTTGAAATTTCGTTCCTGGCAATAGCACTCCACATCTTTGCGCGATCCAAATCTCTTTCCTCGAGCTCGACTTGAAAACTTTCCTCCCGCAGTTTCAGACGATGCTGTTTCACTCGCGCGGTCATTTCACGGCGGTTCTGCACAATCATGTGCAAACGAGTCCTTAGGAGACACTTCTGAACGATTTGGTGCATTCGTAAATCAACATATTTTGTTGAGAACCCACATCCCTCGCACTGTACGACTCTGAAGTCACAACTTTGGAGGTGTAATGGAAGGTCTCTTCGCCGTACCTTCCGATTACAACCGATGTTCACGCAAACAGTGAAAGTCAGTGGGCAGTGATTACCGTAATGATCACTTAGTTTTCCTAGCGACAACACTTTCTCGCATCCCTTCGGACAGTTAACTTGCAGGCTTTCGTACTGCTCTCTCCATTCCCCATCAGTATTTTGGTCGCCCAAATACAGGGCTTTCTTGCAAACAGGACACGTAGGTGTTTTGCGTTTCATCCTCTTCTTGAAACACTTTTTACATAGCACATGTTGACAAGCTAAGCAAACTGGCTCTAGAAATACATCGTGGCAATGGGTACAAATAAATTCGCCGGGAATTATTTCGTCAAAATGCTCCTGTTTCAGTCCCATGATGACGAAAGAAGTGCGAAGGATGAACAATCAGCTTCGTGACCTAGCGACAAAGTGTTTACACCCAGATGAAAGTGATAGAAATAATTACCAGATAATCTTACAAAGCATTTACCGTAAAGGTAACCTTACCTTTTGTGTGGGTAATTGAATTATGTCAACTATTTTTTTACATTTGAATGGTCATGAGCTACTCATTTGCATAGTATGCCTGACCACGACGAACGCATGACTAGTAGGAAAGGTAAAGAAGGTAATTAGTGAAGTCGCCCAGAAGTCATCTCGCCTAAAGTTATGTCGCCCGGAACCTGAATCATGTCGCCCAAAGTTTTACTTATGTCACTCAAATTAGAAAATCAAGTTGCCCGATCAGACTTACAGACTGTAAATAGGCAATAAAGTTGAGGAATCTCTATTACTAAAGCGCCGTTTGTTTCCGACAACATCATAATGTCTTAAATCAGCTACAACAAGATCTCTGGGTTTCATGTGAAAAGCCTAATTATAAGAACTTACATGAGTCTGACTAAATTACCATAAATTTAGAGGATTCAAGGATTTTTTCATCTTTAACATTGCTGTATTATCGAATTTTCATATTCTCGTAAGAAAGGAAGATGTGGAGAGAATCGCTGGAAAACATGACTGTTTTCTTCTCTTGCAATAAAGTAAAACTAACAACTGAATTCTGAAAGTTTGGCAAGTAATAACATTTTTCAGATTCCTTCAAATGACAAAATGTTGTACGCTAAGCCCGTCTGGCAGTTGAGGGAAAATTCAGTCCTTCAGTAGGAGTCCAAGAACGTTCTTACCCCTGTGATTGAATACAAGTGAGACAACAGTAGTTATAAAAAGCGAGTCCTGGCGCATTTTGAAAACAACCTTGATTTCAAGGCGACTCGTGAATTTTACCTCGAAAATCAAGGTGGATTTTAACCTTGATTTCAAATAACAGTTCTGGCGCATTTTGAAAACAACCTTGATTTCAAGGCGACTCATGCATTTTTACCTCGAAAATCAAGGTGGATTTTAACCTTGATTTCAAAGAACAGTTCTGGCGCATTTTGAAAACAACCTTGATTTCAAGGCAACTTATGAATTTTACCTTGATTTCAAAAAACAGTTCTGACACATTTTCAAAACAACCTTGATTTCAAGGCAACTTTGACCTTTTACAGGTTCACATTCGGGGGTTCTGGCGCATTTCATGTCTCACAAAAAACAATTTTGATTTTAAAGCAACTCATGAATTTTACCGTTTGGGGGTCGAAAAAAGCTCGGATCACTCGTAAACATAACGAAATAAAATTTGAATTTGAAAAGACATTGAACGGGTTGCATATTATTTTTACAAAGGATATGCAAAGTCAACACAACTAAACTTGTCTGTTGCAACAGACAAGTTTTTATCTTGTTTCTGACGCGTCAAAAATAGGTTGAAGAAAATAAATAAAAATGATTCTGACGCGTCGGGAACATTTTGAGGAAAACAAATTTGAAAAATTTCTGACGTGACAGAAACAAGAAAAAAAATTTGAAAGAAACAGGTTGAGGAAAATTGTAAGTGCCCCTAAGGCACGGGTTTATCCCTTGTTTTGATTTAGTAATCGTTTAATTAATAATCTGTAAAAGTCACACTAGGTGAACGCGTTCCGTAAGTGGTATCGCATTTCCAAACAGAACGGATCTATTGTGCAATTCAATAATTCGATCGATTTCGCAAGCACTCGTGGTTTAATAGAAAGAAATTGTCTGTCGTTTTTATCGAAGGAAGGAAAGGTCTTTTTTGTGTCAACTCTCGCCAAATCCGGCAACAATGTAAGTTTAATTTACCTCGAGTGCTTCTATAGCTAATTTCTTGTCCCTAATTTTGTGAATCAATTATTTTTAGCTTCACGGTCAAATACGACATTTAATAAAGGAGGCGTTCCATGAAAGAAATTGGGGCGATATTTGTTGTGTCGATCAGTGAGATTCGTACGGTCCAGCTAGCGGCGATCAAGCGTCGCTATAAAAATAAATGAAAAATGTTTCTGACGCGTCAGAAAAAAATTTTGAATAAAATAAATGAGAAAAATTTCGCAGGTAATTTAGTGTTTCTTTAGAAACTTATCCCTTTAGAGAAAAATTTCGGATGCGTCAGAAAAAGTTTTGAAGATAACAAATGAGAAAAATTTCGGACACGTCAGAAAAAAATTTCAAAGAAAATTAATGAGGAAAATTTCGGACGCGTCAGAAACAGATTGAAGAAAATAAATGAATAAAATAAATAAATTCTGACTGCGTTAGAAAAAGGTGGAAGAAAATAAGTGAAAATATTTCTGACGCGTAAGAAACGTGTTGAAGAAAATAAATGAAAAATGTTTCGGACGCGTCAGAAAAATTTTTAAAGAAAATACATGAGATTTTCTTTAACAAAAAATTATCATTTATTCTCTTCAATCTGTTTCTGATGCGTCCGAAATTTGTCATTTGTCCTCTGAATAAAGAAGTGCTGCTCATTAGTTTACTATTAAAAAAATATCTAAAAAATTGTTTAAACAAACTTAGCAAAATAATTAAAAAAATTATTAAAAAAATTACTTTGGCCACCAAAAATACTTACATAGATTAGCTATTGTTACAGTTTTCCTGTAACACACAGCACAATCTAATGCCCCATTCACACCAAAGCTTAAACATGTTTAAAAGTTGTTTTGTTAAACACAGTTTAATTTTTTTTTCTTCATGTATTTTTGACTTGACACACAGCACGGAAAATCAAGTTTTTCAGTTCTCTGTTTATAATTTTCATTCAATGAAAACCAGTTTAACAAAACATGTTTTGCTGGTGTGAATGGGGTATAAGTCTGGCAGAATATTACTGATAACATCCTTAATACGGGTATGACCAAAGTTTAACGTAGTCTTAATGACCATAATTCTGCCTGGCCGAGATCTATGATCAAGTGGCCTGGAGAACTGAAAAAATTAATTAAAACAATTCTTTTAAAACATATTAAAAAATAATTGTAAAAAATATTAAAAAATGATTTTAAAAAATTGTTTGAAAATATTGAGGGCTTTTAGCTAAAACCGTAGCCTCCTAAATAATGTTTTCTCACCTTGCCCAAAAACATTTTTTTCAAAGTAAAAAAACTTGCAAATTTATTTCAAGCTGAATATAAAAGGTTTGCAAATATCTTGGATTATATCACGTATTTAGGAGCCTGTGTACAATTGTATTTGATAGTCGAGGACACCTAATTCATCACCATTATCTACACACTTTCCATCTATCAATATCTCTAATTGATTTGTCATTAATCAGTGACAGCAAACTGATAAAAACAGCCTAGTTAAGATCAGTTACCCATCGTTTCACCCTGAAGCCCAGACCGTTTGTTTGAGCTGTCTCACTTTAACTCAAATAGCAGAGGTAAGCGCGCTTTCGATTTCTGAAGAAAAACTGAATTTCTACTCGCTCGCACTCAGGCTTAATCGTTTTTTTTTCTAGAACTTAAATAATGTCGCTCAAAAAGTTTTGGAATTCAGCTGTTTGTTTTTACCTTGTAAAAAGAAAGATGAACACCGTTATGTTTCCAGCAATGCTCTCAACGTCTTCACTTCTTTCAAGAAAGTGTAGTAAAAATTCTCTTTCACAGAAGAAGTTTTTTACACAAAGTTAAGAAAATGGAACAAAAATGGAACTAAGTCGAAATCCTTGAAATTGTTTCTTTAATTTCGTCTGACCCATGTTGTTTCTCATTCATGTTAAGGCTTTTCACGGGAAACCCCGAGATCTGGTCATAGCTGATTATAGATATTTGTGTTTCAGGTTCTCATTTCAGATTAGTGATGAGTCTTGTCATCTGCGTTTTGCTGATCACTTCTTGTGTGACTTTCGCCAGGTAAGTATTTATAAACTAAATTGAGAGGACGAAATCGAATACAAATTGAAACTCACTTTGCTTTCAGCGATGAACCTTTTGCAACACCTCGGTATTGTTCATTCTTTGAGCATCTTTAAAACTATTTGTGACTTGAATCTAGCGGTGCAATGCGATGTGTTTTCAATTTTATAATTTCGCATTTTTTTTTTCAGCTCCGAAGAGGAGCTCTATGGAGTTGTCAATGATGGTAAGTTCTACGAGCGACATCCACCTCAATATGCCAGCGACAATTGGCTGGGATCAGCCACTTTGATCGGCAGTGGAGAGTGGAACAGCTTCCAGTTTTTGTTCTTCCACCCAGACGGTACTTTATATGGTGTTCACAACGACAGGTTCTACAAAGGGCCTCCCCCTAAAGCTACCTGTACCGATGCTGCTCAGGACTGGATGAATACAGCGACTCTTGTGGGCACTGGAGGATGGCATGTCTTCCAGTTTCTGTTTTTTGATCCTGAAGGGACACTGTATGGTGTTGCCAATGGCAAGTTTTACCGGCGAGCCCCCCCTACACATGGCTCAGACAACTGGCTGGGATCTGCTACACTGGTTGGAAGTGGCGGCTGGCAAGTATTCCAGTTCTTGTTCTTCGACCCAATGGGAATGCTGTATGGCGTTGAAAACGGCAGGTTTCACAAGAGAGAGCCGCCCACGCATGCAGGAGACAACTGGCTGGGATCAGCAACTCTTATTGGTACCGGAGGATGGAACCATTTCAAGCTGCTTTTCTTCCTGAATGACGGCAAGCTGTATGGCGTCAACAACGACAAGTTCTACAAGCGTACACCTCCTGTCCGTGGGAACGATAACTGGCTGGGCTCTGCAGAATTGATAGGCTCAGGTGGCTGGTCTGTGTTTAAGTTCCTGATGGGTCCTCTGAGGCCACCTCCAAGGTGATTTGCAGTTATCATTGTTAGGTTTATATCCTAGTATTGCATTGCTTAAAGTTGCTGCGTAAAAATTTACACGTGAGCCGCATGAAAAAGGTTTATTTGGAGGTGTGGGTGGGGTGGGATACTAACACCCCTATCAATCCAGTCCCTCCAGTTTACAAAAGACACAAGAGGAATAGATAAGTGTTCCCTCAGATGCGAATCAAATATTGTTACGCAGATAGACTCAGATGTAAAAATGTGTACTTCAACTGATAAGGATGAAGAAAACTCAATATAAACAATCTCGCCAGAACGACGTTTGATTAAAACCCAGTAAACAGAAAGACCATGGAACAGTCTACAATCCGTCGGATTAACGTGGAAATACAAAAAAATCATGTTGAAAGTGTGTACATCGCAAAATGACAGCAGCTATTTTTTCCAAACCGCGGAGAGCAGATGACCCTATATAACTCAGATTGTGATATAACTAAACCTTACTGAAAAACAAAACAAAAAGAAAGGAGTGTCAATTTATTCATAGTACTTTGAACCACATGATACGGTAGGTTTTGTTCCTAATACATTATAACAGGAAAGAAAACAATCGAAACACTTTGCTCTGACGAAACACCTTGCTCTGACGAAGGGCTAACGCTCGAAACGTCAGCTTTTTTACTCTTTACGGTGGCCAATTTACGTTTTCAACCTGGTTGTTAACACTAAATCAACTTGCTGAATACTTACTTTTTAAAGAAATATTTCTCACAAAGTAAGCTCCGCTTAGTACCTACAAAAGAGTTTTGTGGATCAGCGTGTGAGTCTCTAGTTTAAGATTTTGTCTCGAAAGTTTGATAGCTCGTAATCCGGTCAAATGAAGGAGAAGGACGTTTTCGTAACCATTAATGTTTAATAAAAAACGAATAGATTTGAGGTACACTTTATTATAAATTTGTCCTTTTCATCAAGACGTGAGGACAAATTTTAAATCAGTAATAGACTTGAAATTTAAGGAAAACATGTTAGTCAAACAGTATTTTCCAGCTATTCATTGTGATTCTCTGCCACAAAAAGCGAACAGAAAATGGACCAGTCGTGATCTTTGGTGCGCAAGGAACAAAGACAAGAATCAAAATGGGTGGACACAACCAAGCTTAAATTTGTGCTCAATAAATAAACACGTTCTGTTGTGGGCAGTTTTAAGCCACGTTGTTCACCAAATTTGACTTCCTTTTTTTAGGCTTCTAAGTGAATCTTAATGTGACACACCTTTGAGTTTACACCCACCATTAGTCTCCATAGCCTTATTTTAAGAATAACATCTTTAGGTTGGTCCTACACCATAGTTTAGTGCACACAGATCAGTACGATATAACAGCAGTAACAGAAATATGGACTTCTTTTCTTCTAAACGAGAATGGATAAGAGTCGATAAATGTAGTCAGTTTGTAACAGCTTAGAAACTGATTTGTTCTTTTTAGACTCTATGGAGTTGTCAATGATGGTAAGTTCTACGAGCGACATCCACCTCAATATGCCAGCGACAATTGGCTGGGATCAGCCACTTTGATCGGCAGTAGAGAGTGGAACAGCTTCCAGTTTTTGTTCTTCCACCCAGACGGTACTTTATATGGTGTTCACAACGACAGGTTCTACAAAGGGCCTCCGCCTGGAGCTACGGGTACCAATGCTGCTCAGGACTGGATGAATACAGCGACTCTTGTGGGCACTGGAGGATGGCATGTCTTCCAGTTTCTGTTTTTTGATCCTGAAGGGACACTGTATGGTGTTGCCAATGGCAAGTTTTACCGGCGAGCCCCCCCTACACATGGCTCAGACAACTGGCTGGGATCTGCTACACTGGTTGGAAGTGGCGGCTGGCAAGTATTCCAGTTCTTGTTCTTCGACCCAATGGGAATGCTGTTTGGCGTTGAAAACGGCAGGTTTCACAAGAGAGAGCCGCCCACGCATGCAGGAGACAACTGGCTGGGATCAGCAACTCTTATTGGTACCGGAGGATGGAACCATTTCAAGCTGCTTTTCTTCCTGAATGACGACAAGCTGTATGGCGTGCACAACGACAAGTTCTACAAGCGTACACCTCCTGTCCGTGGGAACGATAACTGGCTGGGCTCTGCAGAATTGATAGGCTCAGGTGGCTGGTCTGTGTTTAAGTTCCTGATGGGTCCTCTGGGTCCTGACTGATGAATAGCCTTCATAACGACGCCACAGTAGTTCAAAATGCCGGATCTTAGATCACCTGGGAATTAAGCTAATGGATGGATGATGGAAATTGTTTGTTCTCTCTTCCATTAATATAAAACAAGGGGAATAAAAACGAAAATACAATCAAAAGAAAGTTTCTTAGTTGTGAACGTTATCTATCTTAATCTTGGGCATAAGTGAAAAAACACCTCAAATACTTTTAACATCGCATGCATTGCAGAGAATCCCAGCAAAGCTTTGCTAAAGGGAAAATTGCAGTTCATTAATTGATTTAAAAAAAGGAAAGTGAAGTTTTGGCGCAGCTGTTTGAGATCTAAACCATTTTTGACGCTATTAGTCGTCAGTCTTGAAAACCGTAAGATTATAACAGAAACTACACGCATCCTAGTTAAAGACATCTCTTTGCCCCAACCCTCCTCAAACTATCATCGAACATTATCGCCATATTCGACTCTCCATCTTTAAAGATGAAAATATGTATTCAAATGTGTTCACACGACTGTAGCACATTTCATCATGCTAGAAATATCAATAATTATTTGACCTAAATATTCCCGTGTGAACCTGCAATGTCTAAGAGAAACTGAACCATTTCCATCACTTGTTAAGTGCTCAAGTGCGACTTCAGCGCTCGAAACTTGCCTCGTCTTGTTCTGAAGTCTGGCTACAGCCCTGAGCTCGTTAGAAAAAGTACGTTTAGCTAAGATCAGTTACCCATCATTTCACCTTAAGGCCCAGATCATTCTCATAAATTTTACCACGAAAATCAAGGTGGATTTTAACCTTGATTTCAAAGAACAGTTCTGGCGCATTTTGAAAACAACCTTGATTTCAAGGCCACTTATGAATTTTGTCTTGATTTCAAAAAACAGTTCTGACACATTTTCAAAACAACCTTGATTTCAAGGCCACTTATGAATTTTGTCTTGATTTCAAAAAACAGTTACTTACAAGTTCATATTCGCGGGTTATGGCGCATTTCGTGTCCCACAAAAAACAACTTTGATTTCAAAGCAACTCATGAATTTTACCTTTTCAGCCGTCGAAAAAAGCTCGGATCACTCGTAAACATTACGAAATAACATTTGAATTTGAAAAGACATCGAACGGGTTGCATATTATTTTTACGAAGGATATGCAAAGTCAACACAACTAAACTTGTCTGTAGCAACAGACAAGTTTTTTATCTTGTTTCTGACGCATCAGGAACATTTTGAGGGAAGCAAATTTGAAAAAATTTCTGACGTGACAGAAACAAGAAAATGAATTTGAAAAAAAATAAATAAATGAGGAAAATTTCGGACGCTTCAGAAAAAATTTTCAAAGAAAATTAATGAGGAAAATTTCGGACGCGTCAGAAACAGATTGAAGAAAATAAATGAGAATGATATTTCTGACGCGTCAAAAAAAATTTTGAAGAAAATAAATGAATAAAATAAATAAATTCTGACTGCGTTAGAAAAAGGTGAAAGAAAATAAGTGAAAATATTTCTGACGCGTAAGAAACGGGTTGAAGAAAATAAATGAGAAATGTTTCGGATGCGTCAGAAAAATTTTTAAAGAAAATACATGAGATTTTCTTTAAAAAAATTTTTTCTCATTTATTCTCTTCAATCTGTTTCTGACGTGTTCGAAATTTTTCTCATTTATTTTGTCAGAATTTTTAATTTATTTTCTTCAACCTGTTTCTTTTAAATTTATTTTCTTGTGTCTGTCGCTTCAGAAAATTTCCAAATTTGTTTTCCTCAAAATTTTTCTGATGCGTCAGAATTTTTTCACTTATTTTCTTCAATCTGGTTTTGAAGCGTCAGAAACAAGATAAAAAAATTGTCTGTTACAACAGACAAGTTTAATTGTGTTGACTTTGCATATCCTTTGTGGGACACGAAATGCGCCAGAACCCGCGAATGAGACATTGTGAACCTGTGAAAAATTCAAGTTGCCTTGAAATCAAGGCTGTTTTGAAAATGTGTCAGAACTGTTTTTTTTTTTTAATCAAGGTTGATTTCAAGTTGACTTGAAATCAAGGAAAAATTCATGAGTTGCCTTGAAATCAAAGTTGTTTTCAAAATGCGCCAGAACTGTTCTTTGAAATCAAGTTTAAAATCCACCTTGATTTTCGAGGTGAAATACATGTGTTGCCTTGAAATCAAGGTTGTTTTCAAAATGTGCGAGAACCCGCTTTTCATAACCATTACAACTCAAACAAATGATGTGGGCGTGAAATGATGGGTAACTGATCTTAACCAGACGTACTTTTTCTAACGAGCTCTTTGCACTCAAATATAGCATTAGTTGAAGTTGTTGGAAAATGAAGTGCTTGAAACTTTTAAAAAGGGGGTAAAAATTTAATAACAAACGGAAGGACTGTAATTGTATGAGAATTTCTTCTTCTCAAATCTTTTTGACATGAGCCGATTAAATTAGGGAAATATCTTGAGTACCTTACTTCGTAATATTATCATCTTGAGCACTTAACAAGTGATGGAAATGGTTCAGTTTCTCTTAGACATTGCAGGTTCGCACGGGAATATTTAGGTCACATAGTTATTGATATTTCTAGCATAATGAAATGTGCTACAGTCGTGTGAAAACATTTGAATACATATTTTCATCTTTAAAGATGGAGAATCGAATATGGCGATAACGTTGATGATGATGGTTAGAGGAGGGTTGGGGCAAAGAGATGTCTTTAACGAGCATGCGTGTAGTCTCTGTAATAAGCTTACGGTTTCTAAGACTGACGACTAATAGCATCAAAAATCGTTTAGATCCCAAACAGCTGGCCAAACTTTACTTTCCTTTTTTTTAAAATCAATTAATGAACTGCAGTTTTCCCCTTTGGCAAAGCTGCGCTAGGATTCTCTGCAATTCATCCTATGCTTAAAATATTTGAGGTGTTTTTTCGCGTATGCTCAAGATTAAGATAGATGGTGTTATCAATAAAGAAACTTTTTTTGATTGTATTTTCAATTTTATTTCCCTTGTTTTATATTAATGGAAGAGAGAACAAATATCTTCCATCATCCATCCATTAGCTTAATTCTCAGGTGATCTAAGATCCGGCATTTTGAATTACTGTGCCGTCGTTATGAAAACTATTCATCAGACAGGACCCAGACGTCCCATCAGGAACTTAAACACAGACCAGCCACCTGAGCCTATCAATTCTGCAGAGCCCAGCCAGTTATCGTTCCCACGGACAGGAGGTGTACGCTTGTAGAACTTGTCGTTGTGCACGCCATACAGCTTGCCGTCATTCAGGAAAAAAAGCAGCTTGAAATGGTTCCATCCTCCAGTACCAATGAGAGTTGCTGATCCCAGCCAGTTGTCTCCTGCATGCGTGGGTGGCTCTCTCTTGTAAAATTTGCCGTTTTCAACGCCATACAGCATTCCCATTGGGTCGAAGAACAAGAACTGGAATACTTGCCAGCCGCCACTTCCAACCAGTGTAGCAGATCCCAGCCAGTTGTCTGAGCCATGTGTAGGGGGGGCTCGCCGATAAAACTTGCCATCGGCAACACCATACAGTATCCCTTCAGGATCAAAAAACAGAAACTGGAAGACATGCCATCCTCCAGTGCCCACAAGAGTCGCTGTATTCATCCAGTCCTGAGCAGCATCGGTACCGGTAGCTTTAGGGGGAGGCCCTTTGTAGAACCTGTCGTTGTGAACACCATATAAAGTACCGTCTGGGTGGAAGAACAAAAACTGGAAGCTGTTCCACTCTCCACTGCCGATCAAAGTGGCTGATCCCAGCCAATTGTCGCTGGCATATTGAGGTGGATGTCGCTCGTAGAACTTACCATCATTGACAACTCCATAGAGTCTATAAAGAACAAATGAGTTTCTAAGCTGTTACAAACTGACTACATTTATCGACTAATCCATTCTCGTTTAGAAGAAAAGAAGTCCATATTTCTGTTACTGCTGTTATATAGTACTGATCTATGTGCACTTAAATATGTTGTAGGACCGACCTAAAGATGTTATTCTTAAAATGATGGCTATGGAGACTAATGGTGGGTGTAAACTCAAAGGTGTGTCACATTAAGATTCACTTGGAAGCCTTAAATATTTAAATTTGGTGAACAACTTGGCCTAAAACTGCCCTCAACAGAACGTGTTTATTTATTGAGCACAAATTTAAGCTTGGTTATATCCACCCATTTTGATTCTTGTCTTTGTTCCTTGCGCACCAAAGATCACGACTGGTCCATTTTCTATTCGCTTTTTATGGCAGAGAATCACGATGAATAGCTGGAAAAATACTGTTTAACTGACATGTTTTCCTTAAATTTCAAGTCTATAACCGATTCAAAATTTGTCCTCACGTCTTGATGAAAAGGACAAATTTATAATAAAGTGTACCTCAAATCTATTCGTTTTTTACTAAACATTAATGGTTACGAAAACGTCCTTCTCCTTCATTTGACCGGATTACGAGCTATCAAACTTTCGAGACAAAATCTTAAAAAAAAACACCAACAGCAACAACGACAACTAGACTCACACGCTGATCCACAATACTCTTTTGTAGGTACTAAGTGGAGCTTATTATGTGAGAAATATTTCTTTAAAAAGTAAGTATTCAGCAAGGTGTTTCGAATGTGTTCTTTCCTGTTGTAATTTATTGGGAACAAAACCTACCGCATCATGTGGTTCAAAGTACCTTGAATAAATTGACACTCCTTTCTTTTTTGTTTTTTTTGTTTTTGTTTGTTTTTTTTTAGTAAGGTTTAGTATATCACGATCTAAGGTATATAGGGTCATCTGCTTTCCTCGGTTTGGAAAATTAGCTGCTGTTATTTTACGATGTACACAATTTCAACATGATATGTTTGTATTTCCACGTTAATCCTGCGGATAGTAAACTGTTCTATGGTCTTGCTGTTCACTGGGTTCTAGTCAAACGTCGTTCTGGCGAGATTATTTATATTGATATTTCTTCATCCTTATCAGTTGAAGTACACATTGAGCTGTTTACATTTGAGTCTATCTGTGTAACATTATTTGATTCGCATCTGAGGAAACACTTATCTCTCCCTCTTGTATCTTCTTTTGTAAACTGGAGGGACTGAATTGATAGGGGTGTTAGTATCCCACCCCACCCACACCCCCAAATAAACCTTT